GCCCCATTGGCCGACGCGAAAAAGGGGGGCAGCAGCCGAGAGAAGAGAGTCCTTTCCAAGGACTCTTTCACAACTCGTCCGAGCCCTTTCTTCGATCTTATCTCTTCGGAGGCATCGATAATTAGGGGCGATAATTACGGTGTTCCGGCTACTGACCTCTAGCTACCGGTCTTTCGAAGAGAGAAAGAGGGGGCAGAGAAAAAAGTAGATGCCGACGATAATTGTCGCTAATGTAACGTTGTAATATCTCGGTGTCCTTGCCGATGTCATCGCGAGGATCGAGCGTCGTCCTGTCGTCGTCCTAATCGCGGCAGCTTCTTTCCAATCGTCGCTCGCTGCGATTACGTTCGAAAAAAATTCACGTTTATAAATCCGACGCCGATTCCCGAGATTTAATCCGAGAAAGATCGCGAGTCATATAAAGTTTTACAAGTCCAAGGTGAATAATTAAAAGCCCATTAGCTCCACTACTTGTACACGTTGTTATTAGCGCGCGGATATACGTGCTACACACGGAAAGGTCGAATGTCAATAGCGTGTTATTAAAAACTTTTAACGACGCTCGTTTCTCGCCTCTCTTCGATGACTTCGCAGCACGCGTGCGTTGTTTTTTTCTTCGTAGATACAAAAAAAAGAGTGTTTATGTTAATTTTACGTTCAGAAGAAGTGAGAAAAAAAAACGCGTTAAGACGGTCGTAAATACATAAATACTAATCGTATTAGTGGGACAAGGTTAATACTTTTCGCGCCGAGATTGATCGATGAAAGATTTACACGTGTCTCTTTCTCGACAAGCTCCGTTGCGACAGGAAGTTGAAGGTTTTCGGCCGGTTAGGCCCCGGTTAGGTTGTGATTTGATTTTAATGCCGAGTTCATCGGCGCGGATAATTGTCGCGCCATTACCTGCACGAGAGAACAACTCTGCCGTTTACTGTCGCTCATCGCGCGGCACGCGGGATTATCTCTGCCTCCCGTGTAAACGGAATCCTCGTTGTCGGCAGGATGTAGCGGACAGAAGGAAGGTGGAAAGAGAGAGAAAAAAAAGCGCGAGAATAACACACTCGTCTCGTTCGGTGGAATGAGCACCGGAAGAAATCGCGAGCAGAAGAAGCGTTCGGGAGAGAAAAATCGATTTTTGAAGTTCGCGAGAAAATTAATTGAAAACCGCGAGCAAAATCGTCGGGAGAAGCGCGAAGTGGGTCGAGAAGATAGAAAATCGCGAGATCTGCGAACTCCGCAATAGAGAGCCGGGCTCCGCGTGACTGTTCCGCGTAGATCCACGACGGATCGGCATATTTTGCGGGGCCGGTTCCGAGGCGGCGAGGCGCGCGGAGCTGGCGGCACGTACCTTTTTATCGGTGGCCGGTAGCGACCCTATCGGATGTTTCCAATTTTCTGTTGGCGCTCTCCTGAAGTGAGGGAGAGAGAGAGAGAGAGAGAGAAAGAGAGAGAGAAAGATCGAGAAAGAGGACTCGAAGTCTTCGTCATACGAGATTCTCTCTTGTACGAGAAAGCGGGATGAGCCGCGACCGGAGGATCGCAGAACAGAAACGGGAGAGAGGAAAGGAGAACGAAACGGGGCACGAGAAAGAAAGAGGAGCATAGAAAACGGGGAGGAAGAGAGGAACGGAGTCGGGCGGGTGGTGGCAGGGGGAGGAGAGGAGGGAAGGCAAGCGCGTCCAACGCGGACATTCGTCACACGACATCAAACGCGGGTTGCCGCCCGTTGGAGACTCGACCGACCGACTCTAAAGACCCCGGTCGATCAGCCATGAAGAGCAGTCCGAGGAGGAATTGCAAAAAAATGGGGAAAAATTAAGGGTGGATCAAAAACCGCCCAGTCGTCCGACATTGTGCGCAAACGCCAGTTGCTTCTCCTTGCCCGTCCTTGTCCTCGATTCACGTTCGATTATGACGTTAATTTCGAGAGAAGCGGTTTTCTTTGATTTCGCGACGGAAATAAAATTTCCGAATTCGATCGAAAGTTTGCGAAAACGCACGCCGCGCAAAATCAAAAGAGTACGAAATAGCCCAAATGTGACCAGGTTTGAAAGGAGAGCCATTTGCGAGGAAGAAAGATCGATTAATCATGACGTGTAACATGCTCATAAAAGCGCACAAACAAACCGGGAACGGTTTGGAAAGGGAACGGTAGGGAGCGAAAGTGACATAAAGGAAAAGAGAAAGACGATCGACCTCGCGCGCGCGACGTAATGTCGTTGATCTCCTTCGGTCGACCGGATCGCGGGCCGGAAAGAAAAAAATAGGATATATAGTGATATAATGTAGATATGTAGCAAAAGATATATTAACTTTGTACTTTGGCGACCTTGAATTATTGCACGGACGATGACGGAGCGGTAGCTGATATCGCTCGCGAGACACTCGATCACCGGATCTACGTCGCAAGTCATCATCCCGATCATTGTGCGTGCCACGATACTCCGGGGACCGGTAGCAAAATCAAGGACTAACCTTGCCTGAAACGCTTTAAGGCCCATTTATACATGACCGTTTTCTGTGCCGACGCCCGAGCGTTCCGGACGTTGAATTCGTATAACGAAACTGACGTGTGTGTTCGAGAAAATTAGACAGTATTAGTTAAGAGTCTGGCACCCGCAATTTTCTAAACGAAAAGATTGACTACAATAGCAATTTGATGAAGAGAATGTAGAAAAAAAAAAGAAAATTAGAGCGTTCGCATCCAGTTTTGCAAAATCTCTATTATCTTGCACCAATAACCGATACTGCGATTCCGTTCCGCAGATCTCCCGAGAGAGATCGGGAGGGGAAAAAAAATATCGGAAGCGCTAGGAATCGACAGCCGCGAGGCACGAACGGGCACGTCACGACGCGGAGACGCGATAATGTATATAAATTGATACGTTTAAAAACACGGTAACAAATTTTTTTGTCGCTCGGAATACGGCACGAATACACGGAACGGCTGCGTGTAAACACACAGGCCGTTTTTAATCCACGTCGCGGATAGAGAAACACACACATCGCGACGAGTTCCGAACGATATCGCGAGTTCGAAAAAAAACGAGCCGCAAATATTTCACTCTATTTTCGCTCTACTTTTCGCGCGATTCTCCGGAAAAATTTCTCGAGAGTATAAATAAAAAAATAAAAAAAAATAAATAAATTTACATTCTTGAGATATTTCAAACTTCACGAGTTCGAAACGTAGCAATCTTCCAAGTGATTGCTTTTTGCGAGCGATACCGATTTAACTGGGCGATCGGTTTATTTTACGCGATTATATATTACACGCTTTTGAGTTTCGCATTAAGTTTCGTCGTCCGGCGAACGAGCGGATTTTACGACGGAAGATTTCGCGAAACAATCTCGTTCCGGAGAAGAGAGAGAGGCTTCTTGCACATTGGGAGTCTCGGGGTCCATAGTTGTTCGCATAACCGCAAATAATTACTCGCCCGTTATGTACTTTTCAGTCGCGTTATGGTTACGATAGTTAAAAGCAACTAGACGTGCCTGAAAAGGATTTATCACCGACGTTAATATTTCCGAGATGCTCGCCGCGAGCAGCTTCTTCCTCGATCGTCTCGCGATCTCGCGTATATAAAATTCCGGACCGAGGCGTTCTGTGTGCAGCTGCACGCGCGAGATCGACGTTAAATAATTAAGTGTTACATCGTTTAAACGAGTAGCGTCCGCATCAGTTTCGCGGTGCTATTGCGTGATCGACGATGACGAGTCGCGTTTGTTCGACGGAAAAATCCGTCGACGGCGATCAACGCGTATATATACGAATGAGATGCAGGAAGAAATTTTTCTAGAAACCGCAAAACTCACCGGAGCGTTTCAATCGGTGGAAACGTTGCCAGGTGGACTAAACTGGATTCTCTCTCTTTCTCCGCGAGAGGCAAGATAGCAATTAGAATTCGCAGCTAGTGCAACCGCAAGCAATGAACCAGTCCGGAGCGCGCGAGGCCGCGTCTCTTTCTCTTCCTCTCTCTCTCTCTCTTTCTCTTTCTCTTTTTCTCTCTCCGTTTCCTTTCTCTCTTTGTTCTTCCCGAACGAATAGGACAGGCACGACTCGGGTTAACGGTTTTGAGACTGTCTCTGGCGCGGACTGGCTTAGCTTCGCGCCGGTCGCTTTCATAAAATCAGTCGACTGTGAACCGAGAGAGGTATGTGTTGGAATCCTGAAATTATTCCGCCGAACGAGAGAGAGAGCACCGGACAGAATTTTTCTCCACGACGCCCCGTACAGACGGCCCCGGCAAAAACTCCTCGCAAGAGGGTTGGACGACGTTCTCCGCACGAGAAGTGTAAAAATAAAACGCGAATAAAAGTATGGATGTGCGGTATCATCACTTCTCGCATTAAGCTCGAATGCTCCGCATTGATTGGCACTAAAACGATAGATAATTACAACTGGTTCGAGATTATAAAAAATAAATCAATTGTTGTTTGCAACTTTTGCAAATTTTTTTTTTTTATATTCAATTATTTGAATATAATTGATCGCGCGCTCGCAACAATCGTCTGCCGCGAATTTTATCAGAGGAAATTAGCAGCGAGCAAATTTGCACCGAGATATAAACCTTTCGTCTCGAGGAAATCTCAATTCTACTCCCGGCTGGGAGGAGAGGGTACAATTAAGACGTGTAATCTCGAATAAGACATTTTCGGGCTAATCCCGGGTGTGAAAACGCCGGTATCTTGGCGCTGTTATCCGAAGGGGGAAGGGGGAACCCATTGCCGGGTCCGGTTACTTATCCATTGTCTCGAACTTAAGGGAAACAGAGGCTAGATCTTAAATCTAAATTGCATCTGTTTGTCACTGTCCGCTGCTCGGGCGGAACAAACGTGAAAACATTGTCGTAATGACGATTAGAATAAACGACGTCGGAAAAAAAAAAAAAAATAGATATCGACGGAATTTCAAGTGTTTTTTCAAGATTCTCACGTTTGTACGTGTATTTTTTCTCAGATACGCAGATATCTCAGATAACAAACTCGTCATTACTCACCTTTAACGTCAGAAGTGCCCCGGGAAATACTCCGAGCGACGCCAGGCTTTGACTGTGATCGGTGAGCTCGTGTTCCCCTAGCATCAGGTGTTGGTCGTACGGTCCGGCGCCGCAGATCTGCATCGTCTGAAAGAATTTTGACGGCATGTCTGTGTGCTTATCTTCCGTCCAATGAGATTTCGAAGGAAAACGATAACGTCTTGTCGCATTCCCGAGAAAAACGAAATATGGAAAAGAAGATGACTGGCTGTTTGAGATTCCGAAAGCAAGTACGCGCGCGCGCGAGAGAGAGAGAGAGAGAGAGAGACGAGCGTACCCCGGGTAATTACTTAATTTGTGGAAGCCGCGTAATGTTGTGCGGAGGGATAGCTTTTGCGCGGCTGCCTCTCTTGCGTAGCTCGGTTTCTGTTTTACGATCGTCGAACCGGACCGGGAGAGAGCCGCGAATCCAGGAAGAACGGGAGGAAAGGCATCGCGAGGGGCGCCAGAGAGCGCGGCACAAATAAACGACGAACATAAAACGATTATTGCGAATATACATACGAGCGTAATTGCGCACGTCTCGTTTCGAAACACGCTGCGAGCAATGCGCGACAAAAATATTTTGTCAAATTATTACGTTTGTTTGTAGCTGAAAATAATGTTACGAGTCGCAACTGATGGCGAGACTTCTCGAGTGAATGAAGTTGTTCGCATCTTTGTTTCGCGATTGCGATAGTTCGAGTCACATTCGAACAATTCTCGCACACCGCGAATGTTTGCAGAAGTTCATACGAGCGGCAGCAAACGACGAACGGGAAAAGAGCAAGAAGAAGAAGAAGAAGAAGAAGAAGGTGGTCAGGGTCAAAGAACCTCGAGGCTTCCTCGTTAAAGGAAGGCGCCCAACGAGCGCGATAAATAGAGGTGGGTTTAACAAGGTTGCGAAGCGGCGGCAGGAGGCCAAATTGCCTCCGGGGGTTGAGAAACTTTTGATCTTTACGAATTCTGACAGCCGCCTGCAACACACCTCGTCACGTTGCGACACACCCGATCGTCGCATCCTGATGACACAATTTTTTTCTATTCTTTCTTTTTTTTTTTTTATCAAACCTCCACTTCAATGAGTTCTACGATTTACTTTCCAATTTATCTGTGAAAAATCCGGCGCGCTCGTTCGTTGGCGCGTTTTTGCCGGCCGTAATTTCCCCGTGAACGAGCTATCCGCGTGGACGGTCGTTTTTTCGCCGATTGCCCATTGCGTCCGCGCTACGAGAGAGTAAGAACGATCGAGCGGTATATATATATATATATATATATATATATACACGCGAGGGAGGGAGGAAAAAAATGGGGGACCGGTGACACGGAATGTGCTAGAAAGTAATATTTACCAGGCGTTGTGAGCGAGCGCGCTGAGTTACACACCGCGCGCGATTACGTAAAATTGGCGCGCCGCGGCGAAGATCAGCCATTGTCCCGATTCGCGCTCGCTTATGCCCCGCTATAAGCTCGCGACATAACTGCATTCGACCATGAAATTCAAACATTTTTACCGGCCGATCTTTTTGCGCGACGGCAAAAAGCGACGAGCGCGCACTCGGCGTGACTCGGCCCGCATTTTTCGTCAAACGCGCGCGCGAGAGAGATCCAATCCATGAACGCAGCTCAGTGACACCCTTGAATCGTGACGCGAGATTTTTCCGCGGAACGGAAATACGCCTCTCTCGGCGAGAATTGCGCGTTGTTAAGTTTATATATTTCAATTCAATAAAACCCAAGCCGATATTTCCGCGCGATCATCAAATAGAAATCAGAACGGAAAACATTAGAACCTTGAGAAAAAAACAAGTGAACACAGAGTGAATGAGAAGAGACGGGAGTCTATTTCCATTGACGCCGACAAGCTTCACCCGCGGGTATTAAAAAGGGACATGGACAAAGATCCGGATCCGAAGGAGAGAGAGAGAGAAAAAGAGAGCTCGGTATGAACGAACGGAGAAAGAGGAGACACGCGCGAGAGAGAAAAATCCGAAGAGAGACGGAGACGGGAGAAAGAGTCAAATGGAAGGTTGAGTGGAGCGAGTGAAGTGGAGTGGAGAAGTTGGAGACCTGTTATTAGCGCGAGGTTTATGCTCTTTCGAGTTTTTGCTAGTGGCCCTGGTCGAGGAAGGAGTGAGAGAGAGAGAAAGAGAGAGATAGAGAGATAGAGAGACGGAAGAGAAGCCAAAGGGAGAAGGATGGGGTTACGGCCTCGCAATATAAATACGCTTAATAGTTTAAGCACACCGCCGGAGCCCGAGCATATGCTAACCAGCCATAACTACGCTTTACTACTCTTTCGAGTCCACCCGAGAGAAACGAACGGCCGAACCGAGAGGAGAAGATACCCGGAGCCGAAGGGATAAGCCGGCAGCTCCGGGCGCAGCTCCTTTCCCATTTCAGTCGCAATAATAAGAGCACGTCGTAAAATATTGCACTTGCAACGCAAATTGATTGATTATACACCGCCTGGTTTCGGTGAAAAAACGAGCGCAAACACAAAATTAAGCTATCGAAAGATTTTTTTTCCGATTCTCTCGAAGTCTTTTCTTCGATTATTTTTTTTAAACGCGGGTTTAACGGAGAGAAACGCTTACCATTACTTTGAGCTCCTTCAAGGTGATCTCGGACGACACTTTGAGCTTGTGCGATCCTTTTAATTTTCTCCTAGTTCGCGACGGCCGTTCCTCCTCGATCCTCGGTTTCTTTGCTGCTACCTGCAACAAAAATTTATATCAAAAAATTTTTTTATCTATCAAATAAATATCACATATATGTAAAGTCGTGAGTTTTTCACGCGTGAAAAATATATTAAAAGAGAGTAGAATTTAGATAAGCGCGATTGCACCAAATTACTTCTAAATCGGCATAAATTAAAAGCGAGCCACGTTTTAAAAGGAAGTAGATGTATGTCTTTAAAGTCACTTCGGGAGCGGGAACGTAATAATACTCATTAAATTGTAAAACGCGTGAGATGGCATCAATTCGCCGCGTTATCAGATAGAGTTGATCTGGAAAGACGACCGTTTCCAAGACGCTCGATGACTCGGCACGTCGGCCCATTAATAAAATTTCGTCTGAACGAGCCAATATAACTCAAGCGCACACACAACGCGTAAATTTTTCGAAACAGAAAAAATATTTTTTCACGAAAAATACGCAATTAATTTTTTTATTGCTTCGATTTATTAAACAAACACGTGTGATTGAAAACATATTTACCTCATCGTTTTTTATCTTAGACTCCTCGTTCTCGTCGATACACTTAATGTAGATTGTCGCTCTATCGTACTTCAAACTTTCCAGACGTTCCTGTTCGACCCTCGCTAACATGCACGCCGCACACGGAGCTGGAACAATACAAAACACTCTACCGTAACGCTCGATGTCCTTGATGTTGCATTTTTTTTTTTTTTTTTTTAAATAACAATTTTATTCGGAACGCATCGCGTAACGAACTTTTTTCAGAAAATTCCTCTGGAAATTTTAATCACCGCGCAATATCTTTTGCAAAACAAAAACATTTTTGCGAAATAGCAATTTATCAAGAAAACGTTGGCGCGCGATCTTTGTAACAATGCGGAAACTTGACGCGGATCGGCAGAAGGAGGGGAGACGCCACTATTAACACCCTCGGGGGTCAGATTTCGTCGAGCCCTTGTCGAGAGTGGACCGGGACGGCAGTTAGAAAGTCGAGTTCGAGAGGGTGTGAAGAGAGGATGAAGGGGGGGGAAGGCGAGAGTGGGTGGTGCGGCGATGTCGGTGGTAGCTCTTATCCCATGTATAATAGATTGCTTACGGCCGGTGAGATTAATACAGTAATTAATAATATACGGTGACCAGGGCCGGTGTAAGAAGCGGCCATTGTTGCTGGCCGGACAGCACAAAAAGCGCCTCGGTCGGTCCCGGAGCCGAAGCTCGTATGCGAGCGACTCCCGGAGAGTGTTACGTCATGTTCAGACAGTTTTCCCGCGGGCGGGGAAACGCGAGAGGCGATCGCGAGACTCCGCTCGAATTCGCTAATTACCGACTCGTAGGAACCCCAATAGGAGGATGTAAGAAACCGCGTGCCCGCTAACGAGTTGAAGAGATTAGCGCGAAGATATTACCACTCTCGCTCGCGATTGTATTTTTTTTCTCGCGATAGTTTTTCCCGCGAACGAGAAGAATAAAAATAATCTCGGGAAGAAACAAGATGGGGAGGAATCGACGAACAACGCTCGCGAACTAAATTTCTCGTGACCGGTATTTAACGAAGAACAGGTACGGAAGGAGATCCGCACGCCAAATGAATTCGAAGGTCCTCCCTTCGAATTCCTAATTACTCGCCGCGCGACCGGGGAAGGGATGTCCGTGCGAGCGATAGAATCTCGTTTGCTATCGAGTTTAATCGGAAATACGAGAAGCTTAAGCTAATGAGAGATTCGTGGGGTCGCGAATGCAAATCTCTCGTCTCCGACGTACTACAAACAGTCGGAAATATGCCGGTCGCATTTTTTTGTGATCGAATAAAATCGTCAATCATATTCCGTTTCGTGTTTATTATTATATTGTTGTTGTGCGGAATCGAAGACGAACAGAGCGAGCGAATCGACTTCGTCGGCAAACAAAATCGCGACAGAAGTCGGACGATTTTTTTTTTTTTTCGCGCGAGACTAAAGGGCGATGCGAGAGTTTTCGTGTATTTCCCTAAAGTGCCATCGAAGGGCAATCAAACGATAAAACGAAAACCGAGCGTCGAGAAACTTGAGCGACGGGAGAAGTTTTGGAGACGTGAGGAGAGAGCGAGTCGGAATCTCTCTCTTTCGGATTTTATTTAGACCGTTTAAACGATCCGATCTCCTGGGATCGCGACGCGAAACTTTCGACGCTATTATCATTCTCCCCGAAATTGACTTTGTTCTCGCGATCGTCGAAAACCGCCGCGAGCGGAACGCTAATCAATTAGACACGGTTAATTGAGACGTCCGGGAAGGAGACTTTCTTCCGCGTCTGACGAGCCGAGCGAAGTGTCCCGCTCCGCGTTAATCACACTTTGACCGATTGACAATCATCGATCAGGGAGAAGTAATTACACGCCGATTGCGGATCACGTCTCGAATCGGCGGTATGATGTCACCTTGAGCGAGTAGTCCGACGGTAATGGAAGGAAGAGAGTCGTAAAGGAATAACATTTGGTTAATTCGAAACGAGACGTCGATATATCACGAGTATCGCATTGTCCCGCGAGAGGACTTTTTTTCGTTCGAGTTCTCTCGAGAGGGGAGGATTCTCTAATCGCTTTGCCTGAAAACATCTGAAACAAAGCGAAAACGAAGTTACTCGCGTCGATCCCCGGAATCTCCCGGAGACTGAGCAAAAGGCTCTTCGATCAATATCGAAAGCGCGTTAAGCGAGAAAGACACCAGGGTTGTTCGCTATTATATTAAAAAGGCGGAACGAACCTTTCATTCATAACTCCCCGAGTTCACCCCGTGAATGAAAGATTGATGTTCCCCGCCGAGCAACTCGCCCTTCTCCCAAATATGTTTCGAATTCTTCGGAGTTTCCGGGAGAGAAAAATAACCGTTTCGACCTTCCCCGAGTAAATAATGACTTTTTATTTCGCGACAACTGCATTAAACCGATTAAATCCGAAGATAAATAACGTTACGGCTTGTAACGGCACACACGTCTGTTTAATCGCGCTGCTTTTAATCAATTTGCAACCGAAGCACGGTAATTGGCAACTGATGGAATTAACGTGTCTCTCAAACGCGACTCGAGATAAACGCCTCTTCCGGTATGCGACGTCGCAGAAAGATCGGCGCGGTAATAATGATTTCGCTAACGAACGTCTTCGAGAGAGCCACAACAAAGTCGAAAACTAATCCTCTTACGAGGATGCCGTTTCTCCGGCAATCCGCAAAACGCGATCGTCACTCCGGAAATCGGCGGGTGTCTCGCGACAACATTCGAGTGCCTCGCGATCTCATCGAGTTCGTTAATTAAACGACGCAACCCATTTTGCAATTGTCGAATTCGCGCAACAAAATATCTGCCGCGTTGCAAACTCCGCGTTTTATTCAAAGCAAAGACTTCCGTTTCTTATTTGTGCCAAAAAAAAAAAAAAAAAAAAAAAAAAAACAGTTTCTTCGGTTGAAAAATAAATAATTTCGCGATGTTAAGTTGGAATCGTTGAAAGAAGAAGAGAACAAAACTGGGTTTTAAACCAAGCGATATAGACGATTAGACACCTCGAGATAATCGAGGGTCTCCTTCTGACGGGATCAGAAGATGCGTCCCGGTGTCGTTGGCAAAGAGGGATCCGAGCGAGCTTTATCCTTGTTTTATCTTGTTTTCCACCCAATCCCCCGCGATTCTCCCCGTTCCTCGCCGCTACTCGCACACTAGCGGAGAGAACGAGCATCGGTCATCTAGGCGCTCCATTTAATCCTGGTGGAAAAGGACCCCCCGTAGCTTCACGGACAAGTGGGGGATCTTCTTCGGGATAACGCGAGAGAAGCAGCAAGGGAGACTCCGGACAGGATGCGCTAATTCGTCCCTGCGAAATTTGTCCCGCCCGACGACGTTGTGCTCGTTTCCTGCGCGATTACGCGAGAACGTTTGTTTTTTCCGTTCGCCGCACGCTAATGTCTGTCTTTCTCTCTCTTGCTTGAGCCTCCTCTTTCATTTTCTTTATCTCCCTTGTATTGGCCGCGTTGCGAAAAAACATACGCGCTATCGTCGCGGTTGACCAGAAACGAATTTCCGGTCCTCGTTCGGTATCAATTTTTCCCCTCAAAACAATCGAAACGTTGGGGGCGAGCGGACTTAATTGAGACGACAATAAAAGGAAAGAGAGAAATAAACTCTAAAGTAAACGGCAGGATCGACCCTTTTTTTTTTTTTTCATCACCGATGTTTCGAGAGTTTTTGAGCGAAGAAGTTGAAAGAGGGCGGGAAAGTTGGTATCCATTACGTCGCGTTTACGAAGTTCGACCGCACGACAGCGCGGCTCATAAGGGCATGTTCATTGGTCAGCGGATGTATATATTAAGACGTGTCCGGCGCACTTGTCGCAGGGTGGGGACAGAGGGCTAACAAATGTCTCTCCTGAATCGTTTGACCCCTGGTAAGTTCAACCCCCTCAGGAAACTAAATCTCGAGTCCAGGTCCGTCCCTTCCCTTCCTCCCCCGGGCCGCTGTAGCCGCACGTTTATGGAAGGACGGTCGAGCGCGCTGCAACGTATAGGCGACCGCATTCTCAGGGAGAGAACTAATCAGCAAATTCGTGTTCTAAATCTAAATCGCCGTCCGAATATTAATTCGAGGTTTCCTCTCCTCTCGCTCTCCTGTGTCCCGCGCCGTCTGTCTGTCTCTCGCGCCCACGAGAGGTGGTTTTCTTGGTCTCGCTCGCTCATCGGTTTTGCGATACAGCCAGTGCCGTACCACGCCTGATTTGTGACGCAGCCTGGCGCCTAAGCGATATTTACGAGCGACGTTCGTGGAAACGAAACACAGAGAGAGAGAGAGAAAGAGAGAACGGAGCGGCAACTCGTCGCGCCCGTTACACAGTAGCAGAGCGAACCGGCTCTTTTCTCCGAGATAGATAATCGCGCGCCGCACGACTTAATCGCCGATGCACTTCCGTTTCTTAAGTAGATCTTATGTTAGTCATGAAGGGAGTTTGTTCTTCAAATCGTGTGCGTTCGTGAAACTCCAGAGATCGTCGTCGCTGATTCGATCCTTGGAACTCTCGTAACGATCGCGCGTTAAGCGTCGAAGAGAGAGCCGTCGCCTCGCCTTGAGGTATTAACCGCGTCACAAGAGAGAGAGAGAGAGAAAGAGAGAGGCAACCGTTTCTTTCTCTCCGCCTCCGGTTTTCCAGCGCCGTCTTCGTCATCGGAGGAAGCGACGGAGAAGCGCGGAGGGTGGTATTCAATCGCGTCACCTCCGGTTCTGTCAACCTCGGCGAACGAAGCGGCAGTCTGCGACGGGAAGGGTGAGGTAGCCCCCCGGTGATTGATACGAGGTTGGACGGTGCCTAATGTGCCCGCGCGAGAGAGACGGCGGACAGAAGGGAGAGAAAGAGAGCGAGAAAAGGGGGAGATTCTTGGAGGCTTTAAGAGTAGCACGATCGTCCGGCTAGGACTCGTTAGTCAGGGCCGTATCAGTCACCGAAAGCAACCCCCTATTTTTTGCGCCCGCCAATCCGTCCCTTTCTCCCCTTCCTCGACGACGTCCGCCGCCCTTTGTACCCGCAAAACGCGCCCTCAAAATAAGCTAAATCGTCTGTTTGTCCGTAATTCCGCTGCTCTTCGCTTCCTCAAGGTATCGTCGATGTGTCACCGAAGATCGCAACGAGATCATTGGAGAAAAAGTGCGAAATTTGTTTACGAACTTGTTTATTTTTCCCACTGCTGTTATTATCTCGCGGCGTTTGCACGATCATGTTAAAAAAAATCGTGTCTCTAATCCCAAACGTCTCCATTTATAGCCTCCGGATCGCGCTACCGGCCGTTTCGATTCGCCATCGACGACGAGAGATCTTTTTGCAATTCAGATGTCGTCGTCGGCAACGACCTCGTCGTAGGCTCCGCCGTCGTCGTTCTACGAGAGAAATCGGAGGAGCCTTGACAAATGCCTCGATAAAAAAAAAGACGGTGCGACCGTCGGAGACGGACAAGACAATGGGATGTTTAGAGATCGCGATCCTCGGCGCGCACACGATCAACGCCGCGCGACCAGCACGAGGCAGAACGTGAACATTGTTCCCCCGTTCTCGGGACCTCTCCCCCCGTCTTTTCCCCCTCGGTGTTACCGTCGGGACCCAATTTGCCTGCCGGACGGTCGACAAGGATCGCTCGTCTTAAAGAAGCGCCGCGACACGTGCCTGAACTTGAACGAATCTTAATCGCTCTTCTCGCGCGCGCGCGCGCTTGATTTTTCATTTCCGCCCTTCTCTCGAGTTCGAACAATTTTCATTTCTTGGAGTCAATTCGAAAATAATAATTCGTTCGAAAAAAAAAAAGTATTATCGTAGTCGTCTTCGCAATTGCGCGATCGGAAAAAAAGTGAATGAGAATCGATGGCGCGGAACTGTAAACAGCGCGAGGAGGACGACGGCGTGAAACAGGGGCGAGAAACTTTCGAGGAAGGCCATTTGCGGCCGCCTCACCCGCCGCTGCTTTTTCTGCCAGTTAATTTTCAGGATACTTCTTAATTATAATGAGACACTTTGGGGCCCGGAGAGGAGAGAGAGAGAGAGAGAGAGATAGATAGAAGCCAACTGAGAAGATGGAACGACGGAGAAGAGGGGCGCGGACGGAAGGTGGATTTATGTAAATCAGCGGCTAATGTCTTCTGGCATTATTCCTCGGGTTGGGGGAGGGAGGCGGAGTGGGAAGCTCGCGCGCGCGAGGGGATATTTACACGACGCACGTTCTCTTTCTGTATAAGACAGATAGTGTGTCGAGAGAGACCGTGTTGAAAAATGCTGCTCGACGCGAAGCTTCCGTGTTCGAATTTGATTTTTAACATCACGCAATTGTAAAATCGCAAGATAATTCGCAATACTTGTTTCACGAGAACACACGTCTGTGTGTTTACTCACCGGGCTCCGTTTGATAATCGCTATCAGTCTTCTTTATAACAATGGGATAGTCGACTTCGTAGTATTGCGTCAGCTTCGACCATTCCTCTGCGGTTACTATACTGTACCTGCAACACACACACGGAATTCGAGTTTTCACTTGAATTCTGGCAAAGCGAGCAAGTTTACGCACGCGAGCTTTATAGCGAGATATATATATATATATATATATTTATTTATTTATAAACAAAATACAGAGACTCAGGAAAGAGAGAAACGCGCGATTGGACGGGAGACGTATTTGCAAGATGGAATTTGCGATTTTCCGACAACGCCGTAGAATCCGTGAATGCTTTTTGCATCGTCTCCCTTAATTATACCGCAAATTAGAAATTTCTTGCTGTGCCACGGCTCCAGCTTTTTGCCCTTGCAATTGTTCGCTCGATCCTGGCATGGTTCCTGAACCTCGTATCGCGAGGGAATCTCGCGTTAGAGAGAGCGTGCAATCAATAATATTTCGCGAACTACCGTGTTATTAATGCGCGCGTATGTAATTTCGAAAATTTATTTATATCCGCGGAATAATATCGGTTGCAACGCGCGTTGAAATTAATCGAGCGGAAGATGCTTTGTCGCAGATACAAAATTTTTGCAAAAAAAAAATAAAAAATAAACAACGCGCGATCACTTCTCGCACAGTTCGGATTAACGACGTGCATTTACATGTCACGGGAAAGCGTTTTCGCGGAAGACGACGACAAAAAAAAAATTTATATAATCCCGACGATCGATCAATCAAGCTCGATTGAGAGACAGTAGCACATCGGCGATAATTGACGCGATCGTACTACGACTGCGCGTTAACGAAAGAGCGAACCGACGCCACGAAACGATGATGACTCGACCGATAATTAGTTGCGCGACATTAATTTCGATTCAGCGCAATATGCCGCGCGGTCTCATTTGAATTTTCACGGGGCAAAAACGCGCGGACGAGCTTGTCGTCTCTCCTGTGTATTTGCCTAACGCCCGAATAATGATGGGTGCATCGAAGAGAAACGATGAAAGGAGAAAGAGGGAAAGAGGGGGGGGAGAAATCGCAGCTGAAAAAAATATATACTAGCCCGGGCTACGCGATATTTCGACGAATTTCTCTCTTCCTGCGCATTTTTGCTTTGCCGCCCCCCTCACAAATCTATTTTTATGTTAAAAAAATATGTTCTAAATATTATTAAATATAAAAAATACAGAACTCGAAAGTTCGACGCACCATAAGAATATAATAACCAACACGAAAAAAAAAAGAAAAAGACAGTAAATGTTCAAGATGTTCGCGACAAATGCGAGAAATCGCCGCGTGGAGGGAAGAGCAAAGAAGGTAAAAATGATTTTTTAACGGACTCTTCGCCGAGATGGAGGAAAACCAGACGACTTAAGCCGCCGGCTATCTTAGGCAGATAGTGGACAATGGTTTAGCATAATGGTCGGGGGATGTTGGATGGCGTGTTGGCCCCGGGGGCGTGCGAGTGACATTTTCGCGTATCCATCACGTCACCGGGAACCGAGGGAGCGGGGACGCGGGAAGAAGAAGAGAAAGGCGTGCCAGGAGGTCACGCACTTTCGCTTTATAATATAGTGTCCTTCGAGAAATTCCTGCCAAGGAAAAATCCCCGTCCGAAACCTCGATAAGAGCCACTCCGTGTGTCCCTCAAGCGCGATCAACTTTACTCTTCCCCGGAAATACAATTCCCTTCTATGAAGTTTCGTATAGTATATCGCGCGCGAGTATTATTTTCTTCACGCGCGGAAGCAAATGTGTTTGTTCATGTGAGAGAACTTACAGTTCAACGTTAATCCGAGGCGCGTACAGGAATCCTTTGTGCGCCTCGCAGAGTAGCGACGCGTTCTGGATGCCTGCGGGTGACGTTCTCGAGAAGATCTCCGCGTATCTGAAATCACAAAACACACAAACATGTACATTTTTAAATTATCGAATATAATCTTCATAAATATTGGTTCATTTTATTTTTGCCACGTACACACGTCCTTGCATTCGGAAATTTTGAAATATTTTTCAAACAGCGGGCGAGTTAAAATGTTCCCGATAATGTGATACACGATCTTCACAGATTACAAACCAGAAAGACGATAACGAGAATGACGACGACGATGATGACGACGACGACGACGACGACGGTGAACATTTCCTTCGGGACTTTTCCGGAGGTGATGTTTAGGGGACGAGGTTGTGCATCATTTTTCACATACCACGAGGGGGCGTACGGTTTTTGCCATCCCTCTAGCCCGACGACCATCCAGATAATGCTCTTAAAGACAGATATCTCTCGTGAAACGAGCCAGGTACGCACTGTCATGTGACAGTCCACCGCGGGAGTAGATCGGAATCTCTTCGAATTCCGTACGCCACGATACGTGAACTGAAGTTTACATTAAAAAACATTTTTTTAATAAAAATATTACGAGTACTGTAAAAATACAAATATACTGTCGTGCTCGAGAAAAAATAACTTGACGGTTTTAATCATGTTTACATGTTGATCTTTCGCTAATCTATTTTGATTTTTTTCACGCATGAAGATCGAATTTAAGATCGAAACAAATTCAGAGTTTCTTAAAGAGAAAATTTTTTTTTATATCCTGTAACTTGGCCTTAACTTGAATTAATTTAAAAATACAAAATTTAATTTAAATTTTCAATAAGAAATAATAGTTTCCTTTTTATCAGGCAAGAGGATTTTCCAATAGACTCTGTAGCAGAGACGTGCTTTAAAACGCGAGACACCGTCGCGGTCGCAAATATCAGAGAAATATCGGCCTTTCCACAGAGGAAACCCGCTTTGCTCGGGAAGGCGACTATCCGTGGCCGTAGTTTAAAAATGTCTCCTTCCCCGTCTCCGCACCCCGGGCGCGCGCGTTTTCCAGAAGCGAATGCGCGTATTAATTATGAGCCTTGTTCAAACAGAAGAACAGAGGAACGCCGCCGCGCGGCAGGAGCGAAACGGAGCCGCGGAGGGCGGTTGGTCACCCTTATTACGGTCGAATCCGGGACCCCCTTCCTTCCCCCTTCACGGTTTCTGTGTCCCTCTGTGTTACTACTCTCTCTTCCGCGTCCTCGCGTCGTCCCCCTTTTTTATTTCTGCTTCGAGGCTTTGTTTAACTTCTGTCGCGAAATTTTTCCGCCCCGCAACGATTATTGCTCCCCGGAGATCGCGGAGAGACGGAGGAGGAAAACAGAATTCGGTTTGCGGCTCTGCCTTCGCCGGGGATGCAACGTATCTACACACACACGTGAGCGCGCGCGCGCGCGCCCGCGCGTCGAGGAGCGATCCGGGAAAAATCATCTTCGTCGGCGCGGTTTGAGTGACGTTTCTCTGCCGAAGCTTCGGGAGAAGAGAAACCATATATCTTTAGTTTCGCGAAGAAAAACCGCGAGAACCGCGAACTATACGCGCGCGGATGAAAAACGTGCGAGTTTCGCGAGTACAGGAATGTCGGTTATACTTGAGCGATTATACGAGCTGCGCCCGACACACGAGGCGAACGGTCTCTCTCTCATGGTGAGTTATTAGTCGGCGGTGAGCGAGAAAGAATTAAACGAAGGCGTTGATACAACACGGCGGCGAAGGTCCGAACAAGTTACGGATCTGTTCGGAAAAACAGCTCGCGGTAGCCGAGTCATTGTGGTCGACGACTTATTGTCCGATACCGGTGCATAATATCCTGTTCTATGCACGAACGAACTTAGTGACAGCATCATTGTGGATGGCCTTAATCAACCGAGACGCCCCGAGACCGTATCTAGCGGACTGGCCCCTTGTAGAAGAAAATGAAGCATTACACGGGCACACAGCCCGAGAGAGAGAGAGAGAGAGAAAGAGAAAGAGAACCGGACTTGCGATAACTGCAATCACTTTACATAGAAAGAAAGCGCCGAAAGAGGATCGAATGAAACCGATGAATTTTGGTGATGAATCGTTAATGTAATTGAATATTGATCCAATGAACGTTTCATAAAAACATAAATATTGAAGAAAAAACCGAATTACAAGTAATATATTATTTTTTTTCTCTGCTTCTTGTGAGATTGTAATATTCAAAGCACTTTCGATAAGAAGCGTGATTATTCGTTCGTAGCCTGCGTTCAATGCAACTTTCTCTTGGCAGGAGAGAAAGAGAGAGAAAGAATTTTTCGCCTTTGTCTTCCTACTCGCATGCGGGCCAAAAAAAATTCGTTTCGATGATTCGCCTCTTTCTCTCGTCCTTTCGCCGCTTGCGTTCGATGAACGAACCGCCTTTATATCCTTCTCGCGAGGCGCATTCCTCTCCGGCAGAAATAAATCTTATGTTTTCGCGTATAAGCGGCCTTTTAATATCACCACCCTTGATTTACCGACCGCAGACCCGTGCGTCTACGCGCAAGAGAGACCGAGAGAGATAGAGATAGAGAGAAAGAAAGAGAGAGAGAGAGAGAGAGAGCGCATCTCTCTCTTCCGCGCGTGTTCCGCTGACATTTGTCTTCCGGGCAACCCCGAGACCCAAACGACACGAGTGTCCCTATTACGCTTTCCCTGATTTAACGCTTCTCCCGTCAGTATTTGACTAGATGATTCCCGATCTCTCCGGAGAGATTACCGCTCTTGTCAACGAATTATTGCCCGTGCTCGGGAGAGGCGATCTAATGGATCGAGACAACCGCTTATAAATTTCCGCCGCTTACAACGGCGAAAGGATCAGCTGTTTGTATCTCCGTCGAATACGTTTTATCGAATACGAGCAAATAATTGATAGAAAAAATAAATACATTTGAGCTATTGCACAATGATAAAAAATATTTCGATTTTAAAGAAAAAATAATTAGAATTTTTATAATTGCATCATCGAGAACGAAATGTCGGGCGAACGGATGCTGCAAAGACGCGCATCCTACGCCGCACCGGTTATGCAGCTCCGGACGCCGAGTGCATCGGAGCGTTGCGGTCATTATAAGAGAGGCCCCTACGTGTCTGTGGTAAAAGGTCCTCGGTGTGTCCGGGTATTAAAAAAGGAATCTCAAAAAGCCCAGTCGTCAGATAGATGGCGAAAGAGCGGCGAGAGAGGAGGAGAAGGGAAAGGACGGGAGCAAAAGAGAAAAACAATATTGCTGCCGGTTACCGCGGGACACTCGGGGAAAAATAAGAGAACAACGCGCGCGCGTGCACGTGTGTATGTCCGCGCCGATCACGAGAAAGCGACGCGACGGGATACGAACGCGATGTACGGACATCGATGTGCGGACTTTCCCGTCCCGAATATCCTGCGGCGAACTTCCGGCGTTCTCTTCCGACGTTCGCACTCCGCACGCGGAGTGGGTGTCGATTCGGAGCGCGCGAGAGAAAATAATGAGTCACACGAAAACACAAGCAAACCAGACTTCAGAAACTGAAGAGGCAAGAATCTCTCTCTCTCTCTCTCTCTCTTTCTCTCTCTCTTTCTCTCGAACTAAAAACAAAAAAAAATAAAAATAAGCACGAAACAATAAAGCTTAGATCCCGCGCGCGTCTCTTCCTCCTTCGCAATTCCGAGAAGGAGGAAAGTGTATTATCATCAGCCCGCGATTCCGGGCTGTCCAATCATCGAGGAGATCGGCCTCGGACCTTTGTCAGACGATCTCGCTCGGCGAAGACGCGCTGAAATCGGCCGGAAGACCGAAAAGAGGCGAGAGACGCGGAGGAAGCTGCGCGGGGCGGATAATACCGCGAAGAGCGAGAATGGGCGAGAGGGAGAGAAGGAGCGCGAGGCGAGACAATAGCGCCGGTCGAAGGAGAAGGATCGCGTATAATGCGGCGAGGATGCCCGTTCCTTCTCTCTTCGATCGTCGTTGTCAGCAGGCGGAAGCCGCGCGCGACGTGGTCTCTTCTCGGCTTCGGCTCGGCGGTGCGCGCTAGAATAACGAAAGCTAATTATGCGCTCGGCTCGAAAAAGGGGAATCACGGCAAAAACCGTCGATAATCGACATCCTGCCGCAGTCCGTCGGTCAACAGGACTACCGCCGGTGTGTAACTTCAGACCGTCCTCCGCCTTCCTTCTCCTCCTTCTCGCCGTGTATATCTTCCTCTCCCCCTTGAGGACTATCCCGCGCGACCGAAGATCCTCTCTCTCTCTCTCTCTCCCCCCTCCGCCTCTGAGCAAACAAGAAGACCGACCGATGGCTTTCGCCAATGTAATAAAAAGGGGAGTCCGTGGAGGATGCTCCGCTTCTGACCGCTCGCGGTCGAGACTCCTCTCCGAGCGGACGCGGCACCGCCGAGAGGCGCATAAGATACGCAATGCGCTCGATTGCTGATAACCAAGCGCGAGCTGGAAAACTAGCGCGCAACGAAGTGTCTTCTCGGTTGCAAATAAACGACCAACATCTCTCTCACGGAGTGTGAACATTCTAATCGATCGCACGTTACCGCGCGAAAATTGAAATAAGAAAAAAACAGACTCGATGCAACCATTTTTAGCAAAGATACGAGAATTTTCGCGCGAACGCGAATTTGATAAAAATCTAAACGGAATTTTTTCTCTCACCGCCCAAGCAAATCCGTTGATAACGCCGGGTCGGTTGTTATAAGGACCGTAAAGGAAGGATCACGACGATAATGGCGTTGTAACATGTCTGGTCGAACATATAATGCTTGCGGAGCAACTGCTTGTTGCAAGGCGGATCGTTGCGCCAGCTAAGCCCCGGCGTTTTTTTGCGGGACCTCTCAATACCGATCAAGCGTTCCCCGGGATCGGGAGAGAGCAACACGCGTAGGTAGCTCGCCAGGCGTGACCACTGGGCTACCGCGATACACCACGAAAAACGCAGCCACCCGCCATGCTTGGTCGCTCCCGTCTATTTACATTGGCACCGTTGCGGAGAGAGAGAGGGAGAGCACAATCGGCCCGCGCGTATGAACGTGCCTCGAGTCCTCGGGGGTGCCTCTCTTTCCCCTCCTTCCCGTATAAAATAAAATCACGATCGCGACAGCTAAAGCTTGACAATTCTGATAAGTCGGTGCGGCGGAGAAAATATTATTCTGCGTGTATTATCGCGGTTCAAAACGTACACCACAACAAAGAAACAAAAAAATATAGACATTCGAGAAAATAAAAGCGTATCGAGTTGACAAAATCGTCCTCGCTGTATAAACTCCACCGTTAGCCTACCTTCGTAGAAAAGCGGGCGGAGATCTACGCGGAATAGCGACACGTAGACCTTAGATGAAGAGAATATGGCGTAGGAAAGAGGAAGAGAAAGAGACAGAGAGAAGCGGGCGAAACGTTCAGCTCGCTTTACCGAGCACTGATGATAGTTTTTGCTCGGTAAGATTTTTTGCTTCAACCCCCGCGGCCACCCCCAAGGGTGGATGATATATGACCGCCCCCGAGACACTGGCCACCCCCGGGAGAATGAGGAATAGAGGCGAAGAGAGGGAGGGACAAGGAGAAAGAAAGAGAAAGAGAGAGAGAAAGAGGGAGGACACATCCTGATTCCAAAAGAATTCCTTCCACGCGCAGGACGTGCGCATTTGTACATGTGCGAATCCAATTATCGACGACGAGAGAATACCAGAGATCGATTAACAGAACTCTCTTCGTTCACGTCGTTCACGGAAATTAGGACAAACGTATCAATCGAGAATATTCGCGCGAAATTGACGAAGAGTTCGACAGCGGCGGCCTATCGAAGAAATCGAACGTGCATAACGCGACGATCGGTCGATTTCCCGACACGCTAGACTTCCCTTTCCGGGGAAGGAGGATTTGCGTGTGGCAGGGAACTCCATTTCTCGAGAATTAGCAAAATATCATCGGACAAGAGGGAGACTGAGGCTCGAGTTTATGGTGGCAACGCGGAGTTGGTCTCCTCGCAATGAATCAATTTATTTAAGGGTAGTTGGATTTCGCGAGTCGATGCACGACGACTACGAGCCACCCTTCCTCCAATACCAAGGCTCACCCCTCTCTTTTTCTAACGTGGCTCGTTTCGTCGAATGATTTATAGTTTTCCTTCCGCGAACGCGCCCGTTCACCCACCCCGTCGTTCTCTCTTCCTCTTTCCCTCTCTCTCTCTCTCTCTCTCTCTCTTTTACTCTTTACCGCGTTCTTCGCCTCTCGGCAGAAACACCCTCCTGCCAAATGTACGCAAAATAGTCGGAATTTCTTCGGCGTTTCACCCCTCGCCGACGAAGGAAACCTAACGTCGAACTGTGCAACTCGAATTATCAAAACGACAGACGCTCTTCCGTAACAGCGAATGAACTGATCGCGGAAACGTTGGAATGAATGAATGAATGAATGAATGAATGCAGCGTCCGTTATTCGGGAATCAACCACTCCGAGCGAAACGAACGCGAAATAGCCACCGGACTTGACCCGGGCGAGGAGAGCGACGAGAATAATTAGTCATTTATGAGGCCGTAAGTGGGGCCGCAAATCGGTCCTTCGCGGAGGGACAACGACGATGTTAGGGACTCGGTGCAGGGACGACGGCGTTATCTTGAAATTATTAATCATATCGTAACGCGCGCGAGGAGACAGTCGAAGAGGGAAGCGCGCGGGGAGGAGAAGAGCAGACGAGAGACACAAGCTACCGGGCTCCATGGACTTATCTGGCACCTTAATCAATTCCGAGTTATTAATTATGGCCCCTGCCCTTCTCTCGTTTCCTCCTCGACCTCCTCCTCTTCTCTTCGCCTTTCTACGTTGTGCGCGCGCGCGCGCGCATTTCCGAGAGACCCACGATGACGACGGCACCATTGTCCGCGGTGTTATACAATGCGGTGTCAACAAGATCGCGGTCACATTTTCCCCGAGTATGATCATTAATAATTATTTACCAAAGTGCGGAAGTCAGCGCGAAACGCAGAAACTCGCGCTCGGGCGCGATATAAAATTAATAAATAAATTCAATTTCGCAAAAAAAAAAAAACGTAAATAAACCGATCAATATATCTTGAAATAACTTTTAATTCATAAAATCGGCAATTTTTTTGTTTAACAAAAATACGAAATTCTTTCTAAATCACCGATGTCGCGGAATATATCCACGGCAAAAGAAAAGACGAGCGGTTTCGCTTCCAGACGGAAGTTGAATGATCGTTTATGCAAATCCTAATCCTTTCGAAAATCCATCCGAGCGACGTTGACGGATTGGCGGGGAGACTTTGTTTGAAGCTAGTTTAAACGGATTGCAATCCTCGCGCGACACCATTTGTTCTCCTCGCGAAGAAGGTTCACCGTCACGTCTGATTAGCGAGTCTTAGTTAATTATCGATAAGAGGTTACAGGGCGAAAAACGATTGCTTATTGAAAAAGCGAACACACACCCCTCCCGATAACGTCCGATGAAGAGGGGGGCGGAGGTAACACGAAGGCGTTTTATACGTAGCTTTTGAGCGCGATACATGTGGAAAATATTTAATATAAAAGAGAGAGTAATAAAGAGAGCAATTTTATATTCCGAGTACTGCAAAAAGACTACGCGCGCACCATGTATATGTACCGTATAATATAACTATGTGGGTAATGGAAGCAACGAACTATGGGGTTTTGTTCGAAAAATACAAAGAACGATTACTGGCAGTGGCGGCGCAAAAAAGGGCGGCATGCCCGACCTGCTGAAAAATTAATCACCGACGTCACAAAGGAGTCGGTCGAAGACAATGCCAGCGGTCCGGAAAAATATTTTTCACATTTTCTCTCCCCGCGGTTAATAGCAAATTCTCGATAACGACGGTTCCCGCGAACATCGTCGCGGTCTTCAAGAAACGGAGCGGCGAATCGTTGTTTTTCTTTTTTGTTTCTTTCCGCGCGTATGTTTCGGAAACGCGAGCGGTTTTGTTTATTTTACGCGCGACGTACGCGCGTTTTGGACTCGACTTAATTAAACCACGTGGAAAACGTGTGTGTGTGTGTGTGTGTGTGTGTGTGACGTTTATTCGCGTCCGAATCGCATCACTCAGAGAGGAGAAAATATCCTCTCGGTATTCCCCCCTCCCGCCGCGTGACTGCTCGTTTAATGCGGGAAACCGACCACTTATTTCGAGGTTTTCATATACCTCCCCTCCCCCCCTACGTACGTACTCCCCGAAATCGCGCGTGACACGACAAACGTGTAATCCGCGAGAAGGGTTGATCCCGGTTTAGCTCACACGTACGTGTGCACGCCGTTCCGGATCTCCACGAGATTTAAGCCCCCCGGCAAATTTGAATCTGTCAATCCGAAGTGTCCAAGCGGGCGTGTCGCGCGCGCTGCGCGAGAGAATGTATAATAAGGGAAACGTTTCGAGATAATGCCATCCCGGATGTTAAAAGACTTTTTTTCGACGCTGTTGTAAGACCATGCTCGCATTCGCCCGAGCGCAAAACGTCGCTACTAATCTACGATACAACATTCGGAAGAGAGAAATTTTTTTGCGCAAAACCGAAATTCAAGCGACACACGATCGTTAAAATATCGTCGTCATTTTTTGCGCGTTGTTTTCGTGTATTTCTTACATATTTACTAAATAATTTTCACATTAAATCGATTTGGAGCTCCCGTTCGATAAGCGCTAGCAAAGCATCTATTTTTAGACGGCCGGTCGTGTTCAGGTTTTTTTATGTGAAACACTTGGCGGAGCCGAAATTGTTGCCATTACTCGCGGCGATGTGTTGCAAGATTTTTTCTTTTCGACAAAGTGAGGCGAATAAACGTCGGAAAAGTGGAAACTCGAAGAAGATCGAGCGGAAGCTCCCAATTGCATTTACGATCTTGACCGTGGAAGGAAGCGAAGCGATATTAAGACACCGGCCCTTCCCGTTCGGGAGGGGGTCGATGTATCATTTGCCGGGCGGGTCGTTAAGCGGTTTCAATTAGTTTTCCCGTGCAGGATCCCCGTCCGCACCGGGAAAACCTACCCGGGCTTAATCGCGCGGTCCGGTTTTTTCTCATAATTAGGAAAAGCTCGTTAATACATCCCGGATATCCACCCCTCCGCGTACATCATTCCCCTGGCGCGCGTTTCACCACCGGTCGTGGACGCTCTCGCGTAATTCCGTTTCGATCGAAACAATTTTGTTTTTTCGCGATTGTTGTTGACAACGCGTCGCGGCAAATGGAAAATGGCGGCAAACCGCGTTCGAAATCGACTCCGAAAAATTGCGCGAAATTTGCTCAATTTCAACCGCAATCGAACTCGTCAGATCGAACACTTTTGCTTCTCCTTGCTCCCACAAATCGCGCGATCACGAATTGAGAGAAAAATCCCGTACTTACATGCGGAAACAGATGGAAAAGTAACGCTGCTGCTCGTCACGGAAAATCGCGCGCGAAGTAAAACTGCACCGTAATGGCTGCGGAACAACTAGCGTCATCTGTAGGATCGCGTAAGAACGCGATCGGTAAAAAACCGAACTTATTTACCGACAGTTGATTAATCGACTCTGATCGACCGTAAACTCTTTGGAACAAATATTTCTTTCACGCCGAAAAATGCGATAGCGATATCTTTTCGTCGTTGTGAAAACTTAATTATTATTATTATTTGATTGCGGTAAGCTCACCGAATGAAGGACCGCCAACTGTCCAAAAAGCTCTTCTCGACGATGTAGAACGGCTTCTCCGGATCGTTGCACTTGGAGATTTCGTTCCTGTTTCTCCCGTAGTACAGATCCGTCAGCTCGTCCTTCTGCTGCCTCGCCTTTATCTTGTCGTCTTTCTTCGCCTTTTCTGCGTTCTCCATCTTTTTCTGAACACATAAAAAAAAATGTATTGTATAGCAAACGAAAGATACGTTTGAAACTGTTTTAGCTTTGTACGTCGCGAGAAAATAATATAAATTCACCTCGCAGATTGAGCACGACGGCGATCCGATAGAATATTCCTTCGAATCCGGGAAATACTTTCGAAGAATCGACCACGCTTCCTGTGGTATCACTCTTCTACTGGAATCCGCGGTCTTGAGGGAGTTGTGTTCGCAGAGCAGATCCTCGTTGAAGTTTATAACACCCTCGTTCTCCTCGTTCTCTTCCATCTCCTTCGGGCACTCGTTGCTAACGTCCTTATCCGCGTTTCTGCTCTCCTCCCGACATTCGTTGGTCTCGTGTTCCATGCCCTCCTGAAACGACTCCATGGCCAGTCTCCGCCACGATCGCAACGAATCCGTACCGATGATGTAGCTCGTTTCGGAACTGAAACGAGAGCAACGTGCCCGTGAAACGTCAGTATTTCATCAGTCTCAAAACTCTAGGAAAAAAAGTTCTTACGGTTCTTTGAACGTGCGCACTAGTTCGCTGACTTCTTTGTGATCTCGTTCAAGCGCCTGCTTGAAGCGTAACAATTTGCATCGTCTCCTCACGCAAACCTCGCACAACGACGCTTGATCCAATCGCGGACCTCCTCGATACTTCTCGTAGAGTATCTCGGCCGCCGCCGCTGGCATGCACTTCACGCGATTGACTTTCAGCGGATCAAGTCGATGATGCGAGCACATCAGATTGGAATTGTCAATCGGCGGGATACCGTCCGTGGTCGAATGCGTACTCAACCATTTCGTCAACCAATCGTTCGGTATCCAGTAATATCTGTTCCAATCAGACGTTGATTGAATCATATTGTATATATCCACTACAAACTGTCGCTTGGAATTCTGATCTTCTATCACCTTTTGCTGAAAAGAAAAAAGCAACAGTCGATAATAATAACATGAAAAACTTTGATACGTTCAAAACAGTTCGTATAAGTAGCGTTTCCTAACCTTTTCTTGTTGTTCGGCCAACAAACTCAACTCATGCTTGACGTTTTCTTGCCTAACTAGCTCACGCATCGTGCTACTAACTTGCCAATTCTCGAATTCCATCTGTAAAAAATAAAACCAAATTTGTTTTCGCCAAAAATACAACAAACAAACTATAAAAACTAAGCGTCTACATAACAAATTCTTACCTCTTCATAAAAATCTCGTTCTCCGCAACTCATAGCTCTGTGTGCAGCACCGTTTAACTGTTTGTAATTAAGTTTAACAAGTTTGACCACAGACTCCTTGATTTGAGGTAAATTTCGTTCCTGCGGAGAATTACATTTGTCTTCGCTTGCGTCACTAATAGTTTCTGAGATTTTATCTTTGATCGCGGAATCAGCATCACTTTCGGATATGTCCATTTTCGTCTCAATTCCCGAATTCAATTCTGACATCTTCTCAGAATGCTCTTGCTGATTCAACGACGTCTCTCCCGTGTCACTCTTCGGTTTCGTTTCGTCCGGAGAATCGATTTTATCTTTGACCGTAACTTTCTCCAAATCATCGAAGTTCGTCTCAGCTTCGTGTTTCTTCATCTTCATTTTCTTTATCGCTACTGCTCGTGAATCCGCTGTTAATTTTTTGTACACCAACATGTACGCCGTGTTCGACGACAGAAATCCTTTCGGAACACGTCCACGTTTCATGGGTTTCACATTATCTATAAAAAAAAAAAAAAAAAAAAAAAAGAAAAAAAAATCTGACTCTTCTCGCGCGAGAAAACACTGTGTGAAAACGCTGTTATTAAATGCAAAGTGTGTTTAATTACCATTGACCCCGTCTTCGATTCGCTTGTTCTGCATTTTTTCGACTTTATCGTCGCTAAACTGGTACCATTCGCCGCTCGAGTTGCATATATTCGCTATGTAATGGCCCGAGTACGCGGACGGACCTTTGTGACTCAACACCGCAACGAGACTGTACAAATGAGTCTGAGGTTGGCATCTGACGTATTCCGACATATCGAGATCTTCAGGAAACTGGATGTACGAATTCAATTTCCTTTTCTGCCCCGAATCTCTGTCACGTAAAATTCTGCTGTTACTTCGAGCAAGTAGAGTTACTTTGAGTCGCAAAATTAATACATAAAGTGCACTAAAACAACTTACCTATGGAACACAAAACGCATCAGTTGAATGTTCAGGGTGTCCGGAAGCGATTCTATCCGTATGAATCGCCTGGCGTCCTTTTTGTCACTGCACGTGGCACAATGATACTGATTCGCGCCTGTCAACTCTTCCTCTGAAAGATATTTATCTATCGCTTCCTTCAAGGTCGCCGCCAGTTGTAGATCTAACTCGTAGAAGGTGGTGGACGTGGGGTACTCTGTACCGCACGTCGAACAACTGTACAGAAATGTGAAATTCTTCAATTATTCATTAAATTAACGTTATTCTTCTCGATCAGTTGGTCGCGCCAGTCACCGTAGCAAATGTCTCCCATTCTTAGAATAAATATACTGGAAGGGGCATGACTAAGCTAAACAATGTTACAGATCCGCGACAAGGATAAACATTTATCCAATATTCGCGGATATTCTATTTATCCTTGTATGTTTGTGATTTTAGAGCAAGAAAGGAAGAGAGAAAAAAGAAAAGAAGTAAACTTATGGGAAATTTCTTGATATATGACGACAGATGTAAATAAAGAAAAGCCATACCACTTCCAGTATACATGTTCTAAGATCCTACCATGTTTTTCATCGTCAAGATCGGCATCATCATCGGATTTTAGGACAATTTTCTCATTTGCTTTCCACTTCAGAAAACCCACCAATTGATATAGCTGTATCTTCCCTGGCTCAGCCTCTGCAGCATCTGCTTCAGTTCTGAAGTTTGCTGCAGCTTTCCTTCAATGTGGCACAGCAGCAGCTTGGAGAATTCCTGAGCATCCTGTTGCGTTCTGGTGTCCAAGGATAAGGCGACAGCAAGATTCGTCGGATCAAGAAGGTTCTGATTTCCAAACTGCATCATTGCGAAGATATATTGCAACTGGCCCACTGCAGTTGTAGGATGATAAGGCAGACCTGTTTTCTTTGCCTGGTCCAGTGCTTCCCTCTCCTCCGGATCTTCCGTAATATCCCATTTGTATATTATTCTCCTATCATCGTTAAATTTGTTTTAAAAAATATATTTAAGATATGACAGAACTAACATAAAGAATTAATACAGCACGCACCTCATGTCCTCATTGTGAAACCACATTTGAATTAAGCTATTGACATAACAAGTAGCGCCTAGATTTTTTAAACCAACATACTGAGTTGGATCTCGTAGTTCAGACAGAGAACTTTCCAGAGACATTACTTCAGCTGGCTGAGATTTCAAATACTTTTCTTCTCCTAAGCCTGTTAAACATTGTGGATTATTGGTGCAGTTACGCCTGAAACATGTATCTCAAGTAGAATCTATTTGTAACAAATGTTGTTAGTATTCACAAAAGTTTGTTCTTACATCTTAGAATTATTAGAAACTTACTTGCAATTTACACAACTCTTCAATCCAATCCTATATGCAGTCTCTAAGTGTATTTTTTCAATTTGTTCAGGGCTGACAACTTCTACCCAAGCCCAAGCCAACTTATCAAAATCAGTTTTTTTAGTCGGTGGCATATCTATAGATATAAAACAGAGATATAACATATATCATTATTATTATTGAGAAAACAAATAGAACAGTCACTATGTTACATATAAAAAACATTATAATTAAATGTTTTTTTGTTTTTTTAAACATAAGGTATATAAAAGTTGACATATGGAAACAATTATTTGCTCACATACACATAAACACACGCACACACACATGCACACTCTCAATTGTATAATAAAATCTTTATACATCTGTATGATTTAAATTATTTTACATATAAATTTTTACATACATACAAATTTTTTGCTAACTATTAAATAATATTTTGCTTTGCAAAATTATACTTATCAGTCTGGCAGAAATTTCGTTATCAAGAAAAACTCGTCTTATTATTAAAAAAAACAAAAAGTATTGTAGCAATCGCAAACAATTCAGACAGAATGAAAATAAAGAAAAAAAAGAAACTGATGATCCAATCACGCGAGACTCGTACTGTCACATGAGTGTTCGAGAAAACAGAAACAACAAACAACCAAAGTGCACAAAATACGTTTTAATGCCAAGTGCATACTTGTCTCCGACTTTTCTCGGCACTGTCGAGAGGTTATGGACACGGCACCGCTGTTACTCCCGCGTCATTATCTCGCGATTCATTGAAATCGCGCTTCTCACGTTATCAGTCGCCACGATTCCGCCGATCCGATACCACAAACGCACTCAACATCCACCGTGCTCGTTAGAAAAATACGAAAAAACCTTTGCGAAAACGGGCAACTGTATCGTTCGCGATCCGCCGCCATATGCAATCAGCGCTTCCCGCGCTTGCGCGTACCGTTCGACGCGCCACACACAAAGCGTTCCGAAATCCCATTTGTCGGGAGTTTTGGAACGCTTGGAACATACAAGAACGCCATATTGATTTGAAGTATCGTTCATCGGTATTTTACAGCATTTATTCTCCCATTTGTGTCTCTCATCGCGTTCTCCAAAAACAATTTAATTTGTTTGAGCAAAGTTTTGAATTTTTTTAAGTGAAAATTTAAAAAACGTTATTCGTCGAACACACAAAGTTATCGAACTCATTTGTAAAATAATAAACATCTCTAAACAATAAATTTCTAGACAGTTACACATTTTACATTTTTCATTTCGTCCTAATCCTTGATATTGTGCGTCTTTCGAAAAACAGAAGACGTAAGATCTGTACAAACATTTAATTTGAATCAGATAAGCGTAGGTAGATATCGCTGTTTTTTCTGGGTGTGATTTAATTGGTGAACAACCGGCACCGGTGCGGTATCGAACGATAATCAAAATTTCGCGAGAGTGTTGCACAATTTTCAAACCGATTAAACGCCAAGATCGCGTGAAAAATGTCTAACAAGTTTCTGTATTTCGCATTCGGTAGTAATTTACACGCCAAAAGAATACGGCGAAACAATCCGACTGCGGTGAAGAGAGACATCGGTTACATAAAGGTAATTAAGGAGAGGAAAGATAACGGAGGACGTAAGATACTGTATACTGTTTTATACAATATCTTGTGTATACATACAATGACTAGCGAATTTAAAACAAAAGAGATAAAAGAAATACGTGGAAGTAAAATTCTGAGACCAAAACTAATATGAAAAAAAAAGTTGCACACTTCTTGATATTTTTTTAATACGTTTATTGCGAAACAGAATTTTAGACTAGATTTTAACACGTATTCCGAACTGTGGCGCGGAGCGGCAGCGACGATCGTGGAAACCGATGATTCGGTTGTATGGGGTGTGATCTGGGAGATAGACAATTGCGACTTGTCCGCTCTGGATCGTCAAGAAGGTGTTTCAAATCAAATATATCGTCCATTGTTTGTGGATGTTGAAACTCCCGACGGTACGATCCACAATTGCCGAGTGTATCAACAATGCGACAATCCGAAGGAACACGTGAAACCGGCGGATCTTCCGACGAACAGAAGACCCTCGCCACTTTACATGTATTATATCACTTATACGCAAACTTGATCATTTTATTTTTCAACTCACGTATATTAAAGTACTCGCTTCGTTACGTAGAAACTTGATAGTAAAAGGTGCGGAAGCGAACCAACTTCCTGCTGATTACGTAAAATTCTTGAAAAGCGTTCCCCACAACGGATACGAGGGAGAATACGGTATCAGGTAAGCTTAAGGTTGAGTAATTACATTTGTACATCCTCAGAAAATTTGATTTTTATAACAAACAGTTGCGTATAATCTTAGAAATTTTTTTTTCGTCATTTTCCCATACATTAAAAATTACAGTAACAAAAGTATTACTGTACGTACTTATCTTTTGTCTGTAACGACACTCTGTGACGATGCAACGGTGTCCTCTGTTCTCTTTTCCATGGTAATGTACAACGACGCGTCATAGCCTTTCTCTGAATCAAGATTGACGTCTATGATGGTTTTGTTATGCGCATTCTTTTGGTAATACGGATCGAGAATCACATGTTCCAGCGCGGTCTGAGCCGTCATTTCGTCTAGTTTGCGTCGGGGGATCTTCAGTTTCAAATACTGTCTCTTGTTCATCTGATGATCAACGTGTACGCATTTATGGAAAAAAACGTAAAACATGTGTCGTTTTGATACAAACGTAACATTTTTTGTATGTAAATAAGTTGAAAATAAAAAAATATTTACAATATCTCCGCGTTTTACTCACATAGACATTCAGTTCGAGTTTATAATCCAGATCGATCTCTGGCCAGCTTTGCTCGAGCACGTCTTTCTCCAAGTTTACTTCGTTGCTGTCTATCAGATGATGCTTCGCCGCGCAGAAATTGGCCCACAATTCGGATGCGAAATGCGGTGTAAATGGAGCGAGCATAATAATTTGAACAGCCAGCGCTCGTTCGAACTGGCGACTTTTTCTCGAGCACTCGGTGTTCTTAACTTTTCGCAAGCTGCACAATCACAAAATCGATTCGAAATCTTATCCGCTATGCGTGGTGCTGTAACGCCAGAGTGTTGTTTACCTGTTCGTGAGACCCTGCATTCTGGATATCGCTATACTAAACTGCTGCGACTCCACTATGTTATATGTCACCTTCTTCAGAAAATAATTCCGACTGTCGAACAAGTACGCGTCATACTCGGCAAATTCGGGATCGGTAGGCTCACTCTTAAGTTCCTCCAGCGACATGTTGTCGCGTTCGCTTCGAAATTGTCTAACGGTAATCCATAAACGATTCATCCAGTTTTTTATACCGGGAACAGCTGTAAAAACAAACAGAAATAAATAGAAACAAATGTTCTGACAAACTGTCGTCGTTTAAGAAAGTCGGTGTCTAACGTACTGTCTTCTGACCAATTTCTCGTGGACGTTGGCGCGACATCAGCCAATATCAGCAATCTAGTTGTATCCACGCCGTATTTGTTCAACAGATTAAGGGGATCAATCCCGTTGTGTTTCGATTTCGACATCTTTTCCCAGGACACAACAACGGATTCACCGTGCTTGGTCGTGCATTTATCTTCCTCTTGCACTACCTCGCTTTCCGGCACATATTTACCGGTGCTTTGAACTTTATATGTTTTACCCATCACCACTCCCTGCACGAGAAGCTGTCTGAACGGTTCTGGACAAGGTAAGAGACCCTCCGAGTGTAGAAAGTAGTTCATAAACCTTGCGTAGTACAAATGAAGCACACCTGAAAGATAAAACGGAAAACGCTGATTTGGAAACTTGAATGAGAGCGACTCAGCGATTGAGAGAACGTGATTGTCTCACCATGTTCCTTTCCACCTATGTAAAGATCCACGGGAAAGTTTTTTCGGACCTTTTCCACCGAGAACATCTCCTCGGTATTATCGGGATCTATGAACCGCAGAAAGTACCAACTGCTATCCACGAACGTGTCCATCGTGTCGGCCTCCCTCATTGCCTTTTTCCCACACGTAGGGCACGCCGTTTTCAACCAGCTATTAGCTTTGTGAAGCGAAAAGTTCTTGGTCGACGCGTACCTCGTCGGCAACATCACAGGAAGATCGGCGCGAGGCACCGGTTGAACGCCGCATTTTTCGCAATGAACAACGGGTATAGGCGTGCCCCAGTACCTCTGTCTGGAGATTAGCCAGTCCTGCAGTCTGGAACTCACCGGGTAACCGCCTATTCCCCACTTCCTCGCTTTCTCGAGCACCTCGGCCAATTTTTGCTGTTGCTGCTCGTAGCTGCGTATCGAGTGCCGGATGAACGGTATCCCGACCAACTCGGAAAATCGCATATCGTCCATCGACGCCGACGGTACGCCCAACCGGGTGTCTCTCCACGGCGGGTAAACGACTTTGTCCGTGACGAAAACCGGCAACTCTTCGCCAGAAAACGGATTCACCACTTTCGCATTCAAACGCTTTATGTCAGCATCTACGTCGTGTGTGTGTTCTTTACGATGTAATATGCTGTCAGGAGATACGGCTACGAACTTCGCGTACTCGATAAACTCTGGCGCGTCCGTCCACAAGTTTATCGTTCTGGGAAAGTCTGGGATCTCGGACACCAATTGAAAATCGATACTGACGCCAGTGCATTTGCCTATCCAGTGTTCCTGCATCTTTGTGATATCTTTCCATTTCTTCAGAGTCGGATCCTGTAAACCTTCCCATAAATCTCTGTGAAACGCAAGCGAGCAATTAACTTGGAACAAATTGGACTACTTTACAGACTACAGCGTAAGAAAATCCTACTTTGCAAAAGCTGTCGTTCTGATGAACCACTGCTTCAGCAATTTTTTCTCCACTCGCGCGCCGGATCTCCAGGATCGCTGATTCAAGTCCACCTGTTCTTCAGCTAACACAGTTTGATCGACAGGATCCCAGTTGACATAGGCTTCTTTCTGATAAGCCAAGCCTCTTTCATACAACCTGAGAAACAACTCTTGCGTCCACTTGTAATAATCCGGATTGCAAGTGGCGAATTCTCTGTCCCAATCGAAGGAATAATTCATCAATCTCATTTGATCCTGCATCGTCATTATGTTCCGATTCGTCCAAATGGCGGGATCGATGTTCCTCTCGACAGCAGCGTTTTCCGCCGGCAACCCAAACGCATCCCAACCCATGGGATGAATTACTCTCTTGCCTGATAAAAATTTTCCACGTTCGTTAATTTTCGTTGATAGTGTTTTACTCTCTTGATATTCTATGAACATTTTTGGAATATAAAAAATGAATGTTTTCTAAAGCTCACCTTTCAGTCTATAGAATCGAGCTACTGTGTCGCTTATTGTGTAAACTCTGACATGACCCATGTGCAAAGTGCCAGATGGATATGGAAACATAGACAGAACATAGAACTTATCCGCATCATCTTTGGGAGTATAACTGTAAGAATTGACTTTATCTTTCCAATAATTTTCAATGTCTTTCTTTACTGACACGGAGCACTCTGAAATCTGAAAGAAGTTCCATTTTCTTATTAACATTGAAGAGTTCTCAAAATTTATTTTAATCAAACACATGTTTATATACAAATTTTTTTTGTACAAACAAAGATCAATTAAACTCTTTACGTGAAAGCAACAATAAAAATTAAAGAATTTAAATACCGATAGCATATCCACAGCGGTCGCCACTTGCCGGCGAAAATCGCAAGATCTGAAAAATCTCTGTGTTTTGCATCGTGACAACACTTTGAGGGAGTAAAAAATACTCTGCACCATTTTGTATAAATTTCTATTAGTTTAAATAAAATATATATGATCGCTGTTTTTGTCTTATGTTTGAAGTGTAAATTATTGCAGCATGCACGCTGCCATCTTGTATACAACTCGAGTCAAACGAGCGTTTATAAATTAAATTATTTTATTTGTTTTGTCACCTTTGAATGTTAAATATTATTGCTCTTGAATGTCACTAATAATTATTCTTTCTGAGAAAACATTTGTTTTTGGACAGACCCATAAAAGAATGTGTAACAGCAAAGAGAAGAATGAAAAATCTCAAAAATCTCTTCTTCTCTCTGCTCCAGTCTTCTCTTTGATTTGGAGCAGATCTCAGTTCGATCGCATTGGTCTGTTCAGCTCGTTGATCGACGTGATTGGTCAACTCGACGAATTGGTGCGAACGCAACCGTGACGAGCGATCATTGTAGACAGTGCCTAAAAGTAGCTGTTTCCGGTTTTCCCATGTTCTTTTTCCGGTGTTCGTCGCGTGAGCAAGTTGGTGAGTGAATGTCACGCGATTTAGATCTTTCGGAAGTTCTGACATCGTACGTCTTATGTATTTTGCAGCAATAAAAACGCAATGCGTTTTGTATTTTGTATCCTATTTACCTCGCATGTGTCAATCGTAAAATAATTTTATTTTTTCGTTAGTTTACATCATCAGACAAAGGTTAGAATCTGAGGCAGCGCTTCGGAGTTTTGTTTTTGTTGTTGTAAAAATTTTTTTCGACCTTTTGTCGGCACGAGAAGTCAGTGAAATTTACGTAACAACATTTGAAATGTGCGTCTAAACAAGGATTAAATTACTTGTAATTAATTGATTGCACAAACTACAGATTCTAACCTCTCGTTTCAATTAATGAAGTTTTATCGGTGACATAGAAACAATTCGTTTTAACATAAAAACAATTTAAAATCTAATTACAACGTTTGTTAAGTATTAACGTGATCAACATTGTGCAGATAATAAATATCAACCATGGGCAAGGGAAATAATATGATCCCTAATGGCCATTTCCATAAGGATTGGCAAAGATACGTTAAGACTTGGTTCAATCAGCCGGCGAGGAAAATCCGCCGTAAAGTGAAACGCATCAAGAAAGCCAGATCTGTTGCACCTAGGTATGTACATAAAAAATACTTGTTTATACTTTGATGTTGGTTTTTCTGTATGTTAAGTTTTATAAACATACTTGGTTCAAATGTCTTCATTATCTGCAGTCAATTGTTCTTTTTTTTAGACCCGTGAATCTTCTAAGACCAGTTGTGCATTGCCCAACATTCCGCTATCACACCAAGGTTCGCGCCGGCAGGGGTTTCACACTGGCTGAACTGAAGGCGAGCGGTTTGAACAAGAAATTCGCCAGGTCTATCGGGGTCGCAGTCGATCCTCGTCGTCGCAATAAGTCAATCGAGTCTCTGCAAACAAATGCTCAACGTTTAAAGGAGTACAGGGCTAAATTGATTCTCTTCCCGATAAACGAGAAGCATGTGTGTAATTTTTTGTGACGTCTTGATTACAAACTGGTGCTGAAAAGTTCTTTTTTTTTTTCGTGACAATCGTGTGTAAATGTTTCTTTTTTCTCTTGCAGCCTCAGAAGGGTGACGCGACCGAGGAAGAAAGAAAACTCGCGGTTCAAGTCAAGGGTGATCCTATGCCCATCAAACATCAGGCGGCCGCCAAGTTGAAGACCCGTCCCGTTACCGAGGATGAGGCCAAGTTCTCAGCGTACGTGACTCTTCGCAAAGCGAGAGCGGACGAACGTTTGGTCGGTGTTCGCGCGAAACGCGCCAAGGACGCTTCCGAGAATCCCGATGATGTGACAAAGGTTGCTAAGGACAAGAAACCGAAAAAGTAATAGCTCTATGACATATTTTCCTTGTGTAAATAAAACAAAATAAAATCTTTCTTTGAGGGAAAGTAATTCTGTATCTTTTTTTCCGTGAACCATCTCGCTTATTTATCGCGTTTGACGTTACCGATCACGGGCACGTGAGGTTCTTGTTTACCCAAACGGTCGCACGTGCGTTGTGTCGCCACGATAGTTCGTCTGTCATGTATGTTTCGATAATTTGTTATATATATTGCAAGTTGGAGAGAAATTTAAACCTGTTAGAGCGACGAAGGAATATTGGATTATCGTGAGCTTTGCCGTCGTCGATGTTAATCGACGAACTGTGTCAAAACGGGGATTAAATTTAGCCTCGTTTAAAGCTAAATCCTCGAGGAATACGACGTTTTATAGGTTATAGCAGCAATGCGAGGAGAGACGATGTTTCTCGAGAAAAACTGATTCTGTGATTCGGAGAATTAAGTTTACTTAATTCCGAATTACTAGACGTGATGGAGTTGAAGGTGTGGGTGGAAGATATACAGCGTATCGTGTGCGGCGTTACCGAGAACACTACCTGTCAGGTAACGTGTCAAGCGTGTATTGTTTTATTTTTATTTCACACTGCGTCTCCTCTCCGTTGTTTTTTTCTCTTTATGTTCTTTTAAAAATACAATTGGTCATTTTTTCATAAAAGATACTACTGATAACGACGTTATTTTCAGGACGTGGTGTACGCTCTCGCTCACGCCACAGCCCAAACAGGTAGATTCACCTTGGTCGAGCGATGGCGAAACAACGAACGTCTGCTAGCCCCATACGAGAATCCTCTTAAGGTCAGGCAATTTTCTGATGTTTGAAGTGTGATAAAATAATTTGTAATTTATACGTAATAAAACTGTATGTATTAATTTTTGGAGTAGATCTTGATGAAATGGGGCGAATATGCTTCGGAAGTTCAACTGATTTTGAGACGCTCCACGCCAGAAAATAACAAAACAAATGCATTACCATCTCGAGCACATACTTCACGAACAAACGGGTTGCCAGTTTCGTTATCTGAACAAGGAACGGGTAACAATAATACGCAAGATGACAACAAAAACATGTCCGGTAGTCAGAGCTCGGAATTTGACGAAGTGCAAGGAGGATTGGAAAGGAACAGAGACACCAGGAAATCGCTCACATTCAGCGGATTTCATGGAGGTATCACAGAAGGCGGTACAGAAGTGAGTCCAATCTTAATGAGAAACAATGTATATATATATATCTAAATTTAAATTGCAAGCATACAAAACAAAAATGTTACTTTAGATTCAAATGGAAAATGTGGCTGTAGTTCAGCCGACACCGCATTTAAAGAGCAAGGACTTAAATATTCGAAAAAACGTTCAAAAACCTGCTCAATCGCCAACAAGAGGAAGCAATAATGAAAGTAAATTACTTATTCTATGCAAAAAAATTTATATTATCCGTATCGAGACATTTATTTATCTTACGATTTTATAATCAACCGGACTGTTTTAGTAGCTACGCACTTGTCGCAGAAGAAGGTGCGCGAGGTTCCACCTTACAGAGAACCGCCGGGTCCAGCCTCGCCGCCGTTGCGAACTTTGCCTCCGTACCGAGACCCGCCGCCTCCGAACTTAAACAGCCCCGGAAGATCGCAGTTCGCGCCGGGCACCAACAGCGGAAGTCCGCACATGCACAAAGACGATCAACCGTCTTCTAGCAGTTCCGTGAAACTTAAACGAAATCTCATCCAGGTCTTTTGTCTATTAAACAAACGTGTTTGACATAAAATATGTAAAATTGCATCTAACGTGCGCGCGTTGTTTCACAGGAATTCCAAGACACAAAATTACCTACTCAATCCGTCAATCCACTCCCCGCTACAGCACAGACCATGACAACTGTCGCCTATACTCAAAGATACGTCGAACTGATAAGACTAGTCAATAAACAGAGAGACACTATTAATGCTCAGCAAGCTGATCTTACGAAGGTGAATAAAAAAGTAAATATATCTGTTTTCTTTAACAATTGATATGACAAAAAAAATATTTTCGATATTTTGCTTGCCTGCAGTTCGATGCGGAAATATTGTACTGGGAAACGAAGAACAGAGAGCAGATGCATCAAATGGATTATATTTCGCAGGAAATGAATCGCATCGAATCCACCGGCCGTATCATTGAAGAACAAGTATGATGTCTTTTGTATTGTTTAACTGTGCTATCGTTGCAATTACGATTGTTGTTTGTTTTGATCAGCTCAAGGAATTAGCTCACGTGGAAGAAGAGAGCGAAATAGTTCGACAGCAAGAGAAAACGCTAAAATCGGAGATAACATTGCTCAGATCGAAGCTCGCCAATTGCGAAACGGAACTGCTGCAATGTAAAAACAAAATCAGGTAAGATTTGTGCGTTGAAATGCAAAATTGTGAAGACATCTCTGACGGGCGTAAACGATCACAGGCTAGTCATGGAGGAGCTCGCGATAGAACAGCACAACATAAATCGCGAAACGGATGAGCGACAAGTGATGGAGCGAAAGATAATCGGCGAGGTGGAACACTTGCAAAGTGAGGTGGAACAGGTCAAACGCGCGACCGAGTTGGCCTCGCAGCACGCGGAATCTCTCAAGTTAGAAGTGGTGAATTTGGAGTCGACCATCGTCGAGAAGAAGTTACAGGTGGAAAGATTGGTGGCCGACATGAAAGAGGCGAATCTGCAGAGCTTGGCTGCTGCGTGTTCGGACGAGCAAGTCAAATCTTTGTTAGAAGGTATTTGTGCTTCACGAAGTTCTTGCAAGTTTAATTTTCTCTCTTGTGGTTGAAACAAATCCTTACCTGTTACATTCAGGCGCCCACAAACCCGGGAGCACTCGTAAGATGATAGGATCGCCGAGACAACTGGAAACTGCGGTGCCTACAAGCAAAAATCCACATGGCGTCTGGGTGTAAATAAAGAGAACCGGTATACCTGATCTGTTGTTTCATGTGAGAAGTATATCAAAGAGTACACATATCGAAATATATATATATATATATACAATAGAAATATATAGAAAACAAAAAAAATATATATATATATTTCTATGTTTATTTTAGTAAATATTTAAAAGTATTTAAAAGCGATCGTTTCATTTTTTTTTTCATCATTTTTATCGCGGAGTAATTGATATTGTTGTTACACATGCCATTGGCTAGATATAATTTATTGTTCGTCTCTCGAGAAATTATTCGATGTTATACGCGTTATCGATCTTGTTTCACACTTGACTCTCTCGAATTACACAGCGTGTCACTTATTTACAAAATATTTGTAAGCTGTTACATAAATCGCATATTTTCATAAATACTTAGCATATCCTACATGCAGTTATTATAGAAAAGAGATAGCAAGAAGTGTTTTTCTAGTGTTCTCGTGCGTAGATGATGATTGAAAATCAAAATTACTAATACAATATCACATCAAGAATTACACTTATTATCAAGAAATCTTTTTTTGCCATAATAGACTTATTTATAGCAGTTTTATAGTTAAGCTAGATTCTCTCTCTTTAAGTTAATAATGTGTCTCCATACACAAATATGCTGCACGAAGTATTTTTACTATTTTCTCTGTGTATGTTTGTATGCTGTGCGTCACACAAGAGTAGAAGTTTTTTTTTATATAAGTGTACTACGTGTTTATACAATATATTTCTGTTAACATTTAAGATTTTTTTATACAGTTTTACCACGTGAGAGATAATATGTACATCTTGTGTAGTCAAATTGCAAAATATATTATAATTAAATATTTCAACAAAAATCTATGTTGAGAAAAATTAATTTCCCATTCTGAAAAAAAAGCGGATCAACATTTTTGGTGAATTTTTCCTGATCATATCCAGTCCTATGTGTTTGTTTTTCAAAACTCATTGCCACACAGTACCGAAAATCCATAGTTCACGTTACGTAAGTATAGATTGTCAGTGCTGACGGTGAAGTTTGACAGGGGGATTTGTTTTGTTTCGCGGTAACCGGCGCGTGGCGGTACTTTGAAGTAAGTCTCGGCAGCTGTAATTGTCAATTTGCTTAGACGAGATGAGTTTGTGGGTCGACAGATATCGTCCAACGACACTTGACAAGTTGGATTATCATCTCCAACAAGCGGAGGATCTGAAAAACATGGTAATTATTTTATATTCGACGCGTGTACGCGTTGCGAGAGAATAAGGTTATAGTTGATTTTGGCGCGCGTTTTCCAAAAGTCAAAATTTTGACTTTTGGAAAACGCAAACATAAATAAAGTGACATGACATTTCAAAAAAACATGATTGGAAAAGCAAACAACAAGATCCAAAAGTGTTTATTTATTTCTTTTTTTTCAAACTACAGGTACAAAAACGAGATTTTCCACATTTGTTAATACACGGTCCTCCCGGTGCGGGAAAGAAAACACGAATACTGTGTATTCTAAAGGAGCTTTACGGGAACGCGGCTGAGAGATTGAAAGTGGAAAACATGCAATTTGAGGTGCGACTCATTATTTCTCATTGTAGTTATAAACCAGAGTTGAGGATTAGATTTTCTGTCAATTGTAACACCTTTGATACTCGAACTGTCTGAGTTAATGCAAAAAAGTAATTAAAAAACACATAATTTTTTTCTAGACAGCATCTAAAAAGAAGTTAGAAATAATGACAATCTGTAGTAATTATCACACAGAAGTAAATCCCAGTGATGCGGGGATACATGATAGAATTGTTGTTATGGAGTTGATAAAAGCCACTGCTCAGACGCATCACATAGATGTCGGTCAAAAGAACTTCAAAGGTATGAAAAATATACCTTGAAACATTCTTCTAACACAGCGTTCTAATATAGTGCAAACAATTTCTATAAAGATCAAAATATCAATGCTCTTTACGCATAAATAGTGGTGGTGCTGTCGAACGTCGATCAGCTCACGAGAGATGCGCAGCACGCGCTTCGTAGAACAATGGAGAAGTACATCAATTCCTGCCGATTGATCCTTTGCGCGAATTCGACGTCGAGAGTGTTGCCCGCGATTCGATCGCGATGCGTGCGAATCCGAGTTCCCGCGCCAACCGCCAGCGAGATAAAAGCTATCTTACAATCGATTTCAAAACGCGAGGGGCTCACTCTGCCCGATGAATTAGCCAGTCGTATAATCGAGGCCAGCAACAGGAATCTGAGACGAGCGATACTAATGCTGGAAGCTTGTAAAGTCGAGCAGTAAGTAACTACCACAAATAATCACACGATCAGATGTTGACTTTTGAAGTGAATCACTTTCAGAAATAAATGACTTTCATTATTTACTTTGCACAATTTCAACAATCGTTTCTCTTCCAGATATCCGTTCACTGCCGATCAAAAAGTGACGGAACCCGATTGGCAAGTGTACATACGAAACACGGCCGTAATGATGATCTCGGAGCAATCCGCCAAGGTACTTCTGAATGCGCGCAATCGGTTCTACGATCTGCTCACGCGATCGATACCGTGCGACGTGATATTCCGGGGTTTGGTGCAGGAATGCATAAAAAATTGCGACGATCAGTTGAAGAGAGAAATTATCGACGTTGCGTCCGAGTATCAGCACAGAATGATACGCGGCTCGAAACCTATTTTTCACTTAGAGGCTTTCGCCGCGCGATACATGGTGATTTGTAAGAAGTATCTCGAATCGTCCTTGGAAGGTTTCATATGAAACAAGAGCATTTAATTTAATTGTATTTACACATATTATTTCTTATATTTTTAAACAACGATACAGTGATTGTAATAAATTAAGTACACGCTATAATAAAACAAGATAAACCCTTCAACCTCTTCTAAATAATTTATAAATATGCTATGAAATAAGAAAGGATTTATGGAACAGGCGTTAATCAAGTAAATTTTATTCTTGTAATTATATATCTCACTCATATACAATAATACTCTTGAAACTAACCTGAACTTATTTGATCAGAATGTGATCCGGCAGTACAGCTAATTTTAGAAAAATTTCCTGATTTGGTTTATAACATATGCTTACAGTGAAGCAAGTATAAGGGCAGAAATGACTCCCAGAGCAGATACCACATATCCAGTGCTATAGACTTCCTTAATTGACAGAAACATTCCAAAATCCCAAGCCTGTGTGCAAATGTAAGAAAATTACAGATAACATTATACTAAAATGCACATCTACCATACAATTATTTAATTGTCTCGTACCATATGACGAAGACCATTGAATGTGTGGTAAGTTAGAGGTAGCGCGAGCAAAGTCTTGCCAACAAACAGCACAGGCAGAGGTAAACACAAGTTGTCCACCATTTCTATGAAGCACGGTATTCCGCCTGGTATAAACAAAGTGCCTGCAACGTACAAGTTACATATTTTGTACCAAATACAATTGCAACTTATATTGTTTTAAGAATGTTTTAAAAAGAGGATTATTGTACCTAAACCAAGAAACATCGAGTAACTGGCCAGTGCTATGCCCGTGGCACGATGCGTTACCGACAACAACGTCGTTAATTGAACTTGATAAATAGATAAATGTGGTGACAGCGGTCTCTTCAGACGCATGTTCTTCTCATCGTGAGACTCGCAAACTTGTTGCTCGCGCGAGGGATTCGAGACCGCGACGCCGAGAGGACTGAAACATTTTCGATATTCCGTGTCGTGGCATAACAAATTGTAACAAAAGTATTTATTTTTCATCGTTTGTCACATAAGTGACAGTTATGTAAATGTAAGGTTATTGTTATGTAAGGTCTCACCTGCACGTGTACAGACCTCGGAAATATCGAAGATCGACATTGCGCCGGCAGAGAAGTCTAAAAGGAGACGAGATATCACTTTAATACAATCGCGGAAATCGTTTAAATAAAAATTAATTCACATTTTTCGCGACACATATACCTTGTGTAGACCAGAGCCATGTTCGTGTACACGCTGTATTTTCGACGAAGGATAAAAACAAGCAAACGTCAGAAGCTCGAGAACGCCGCGATGTCCACGTGTCGCGCGCCTGAGCCAAACAAAGCAATCGCGGGCGGCCGTGCCGCTGTGGCCGCTCTTGCTTCTCTCGCTCAGTTTATGCCCGGAGGTACGTACATGTATGCAAGGATGTGTTACGTATTGTACCGCATTGGGGTTAACTGTGATTCCGCTTAGCATTGTTATCAAGGTACACCATGACATTAATCTGGCGAGATTTTGTTTAACACAACAACAAAAAGATTACGATTGCGGAAAAAGGACCTTGACATTGTCAGACGATCTTTGAGAATTGCTGTTTTTCGTTTCCTCGACAGCTTCGTGAAAACCGTTTGACCTATAAAAAGCACGATGTCAAGGAACACTCGTTTTTTCGCAATTCTCTCGTTCTTCCCAATGGAATGCGAATTTGTTTCTTAAAACCGTCAACATTCAACTAGGCGTGTTCCGATAAAATTTTATTGCGTAATGAACTCGGACTGTAAGGTCATATGTTTCAAATGTAATATTATGTGTGACAAAGTGGGCGAGAGAGCGAAAGAGAGAGAGAGAGAGAAAGAGAGACACAGTTATTTGTATTTTACACATTAAAATAAGTGTTCGCAGAAATTTTAGACGATTCGGACTAATTATGACCGGTTCAAACTGTTCGAATAATTTGCTCCGCGCGCCGTGCAATTAAAATCAAATTAAAAATTGTTTAAATTCGAATTCGGTCTTTGACGCTACTTTATAATACAATTTATTCATATTTACTGTAGCAAATTGCGCTAGAAACCTTTTTAGTGTTTCTAAGCTTTGCTTTATGTAATCCTATTGTGATAACCAAAGTCTGCGCAGTGTGTTTTTTCAGTGCTAGATTGCACGAGAGCATCCAAATTGACCAGTCGTGATTTGGAAATCATGAACAAATTGTCAAATTGTGATGTCTGCGTGCAATTCAGCACAAAGAAAAAACATTGTGCGTGCCACAGGTTTAATGTATTCTGTCATTTTGACTCACAGGAGAGAACGGAGGAGAAGGGAGATCTTATAATGCACAATTTCTAAAGGGCTCAGAGAGAAGTAACAATGACTGAAAGCAAACTGTAAATTAGTGATATGTATATATAAGGCTAAGAGGTAAGTTTTTATTATATTTAATAAGAGTATTTAAGCAGTAAACAAGAGCACTAATGTATAATATGAAACATTTGAAATATTTTCTAGATCTGCCTTTTCCTCCATTATGCTGGCTATGTTTAGTTTAATTGAAAATCATTCAATCTCAACAAATATCACATCTTCGAACGAACGAATCTACAACAACAAACAAATTCTCAATGTATTTTTTTTTTAAGGCATAACTACAAACACTATGGTGATAGCTTAGTAATGTGCCTTTATCTTCGATATTTCAAGTTTACTATGACAGTGAGTATATATAAAATATTGCAAGAGATTTTATTTGGAAAAAATAACAATTTTTCTTGGAAACCCATGATAAAAGTGATTGTTTTGTATTTTCAAGGATACGTCTTGACACATTTTAAAGAAATTGTGGTACGTTTCTCAACGATATAACCATAAAAATGGATAGCTCAGAATACGAAATGGTGAGAAACATGACTCTCCTCTTTTTCTTTGAACGACTGATGGATAAGGGTGGCCCGCGCACACTGCACGATCTGAGTTGCCAGTTTGGGGCTAAAGGATTTACAAAGGAAATGCGTCAAATAGCAGGCGGATCGCAAAGTGGCCTTAAAAAATTTCTAGCTCAATATCCAGCACTGTTCCTGATCGATGGCGATTACGTGTCTGTCAATACGTTTCAGCCAGTTGTTGAGGAGGATAGCGGAAGTAAAGTGGGCAAACGCGACTACGCTCGTGAGGCGGTGGAATACTTTACAAATAAACTGTTGCAATATGGGGTGGGCACTGAGGTGCCTATCAAGAGTCTTCTGGGTCATCGATCGCAAGCTTCACCGGAAGTCAGACACATATCCGGTCAACACTACAAGGAATTTCGTGATTTTCTGTTAAGGTACCCCGATGCATTTTTAGTCACTGAAGATAATGTAATACTGAAGCAATATGAAGGCATGAAACCGGAACCTTTTCACGAGCTAGAACCGGACATCCCGATAGATCCGGATGTTACAGCAAAACTGCTAGACTTCTTCTGCGCCTGTATCGAGCAGAAAGGACCAATTCTTATAGATAAGTTATTCAATACAGTCAATGAGAAATTCTCCCATGAGAATTGGACGAGTATATTTAAGACGCCACAGGATCTATCTACTTTTATAAAGATGTTTCCAGATGCTTTTCACGTGCAAACAAATCTGGTAACATTGATAGGACGACCAAAATCTTCAGTTACAGAATCTGTAACCGCAAAACCGAAGACCACAGGCGGCAATCAACGCAATCAAAGCAATAGTGCGCTTCACACAAATAATGCGATATCGGTCGTTTCACCGAGTAAAATTCAATTTTCTCAGTTGCCTCTAAATCAGTCGGAGACTGTTTGCAACAATACCGCATCTCAACACAATTCACTGCAAAATGCACACACCAGCGTGGAAAGCAATAATAATTCGCCACCTGTTAGTTTGCAACAACAGACTCTCAAGCAGAGATTCAACACAATCGTTATGAGAACTCTGGCTGATAATACGGAACGAGATCGCAGTCTACAAGCCGCTCAAATGGGTGACGCGTGGAAACTAAAAGTGTTACAGCAGACGAGAGTGATAGCGACGTCGCGAGAGAGTCTTCAAATTATAGAAGATATAATAAACCCTCGGAAGTCTCCACCTGATGGCAAAGTGGTCGTTTCTTTCGATTGTGAGGGTATAAATCTTGGTGTTAAGGGACAATTGACTCTTGTACAAATTGGTACAATGAGTGGTCAAGCATATGTGTTTGACTTGTTTACATGTCCGAGTATTGTTCAAGCTGGAGGTCTTCAGAAACTATTGGAACATCCACAAGTTATCAAAGTAATTAAAGTGTTATTGTTATTAAAACACTTTTGTACAATTATTTCAGTTACATTATAAAACTGTCACTTTGTTTTTATAGGTGATTCATGACTGTAGAAATGACAGTGTCAATCTGTACAATCAGTTCATGATTACATTGACAAACGTGTTTGATACACAGGTGATTAATATACTTTGCATGTTCTTTTATGTCTTATTCGAATAAATAATCATAACATCTTGTGTTAGGCTGCGCACGCGGTTCTTCAGTTTCAAGAAACGGGAAAACCTGTGTATAAAGTTAAAAATGTTAATCTCAATACTCTGTGCGACCTCTACGGTGCTCCATGTAATCCGCTTAAAGAACAATTGAAGAATATTTATCGCAAAGATCAACGCTATTGGTCTCGACGACCTATGACTCGCGACATGTTGATTTACGCGAGCAGTGACGTTTTGAGTCTTGTTCCTCAAGTTTACAGCGCCATGTCTAGGTATAATATACACATTAATTTTTCTCTTATGAATAATAAACAGTTCCGTAATATAAAGTTTTAAAAATGTGTAATTTTTCTATATAATAATAATAATCTTTGTGTATTATTGACAGACTTATAAAGCCGGAAGTACAAGGTCTTTTTGCAGAGTTGTGCGAAGAACAGATTCAAATGCACATAAGACCAGCGGATGTGAAAGCACGCAAGAAGCAGCGAAAAGTTGAGACCGAAGTGGCAGATTTGAAAAAGAGAATGGAAGAAGCTACGAGTAAAAATATCGTACTGAGCAATCGCGAAATTCGGCTTCTACGTTACTTGGATCTTACCGAAGAAGAAAAAGAAAAGCTCAAAGGGAGTTATAAAGTTGCACGAAAACTGGAAAAGTTAGAGAACATGGGTCAGGATAAAGGTGATAGCAGTGATGATGACGACGAGGATAAAACGGACGATCACGAGTATCAGAGTTTGGAGAGTTATACATCAGACAATTCTCATTCCGGTAAGATTTATGTTCAATTTCACAAATTTGTGTAAAACAAATATGAACATTAATGAAAAATCTACTTCCAGGCGGTATATTGTCGCCACGTAACGCTGACACTCCAAGCTTGACTGAGTCAATGCAAATGGTAGATGAGATACTCTCGGACGGTCGGATGGATAAGCTGGAAAAAATTGAGAAACTGGAAGCCATACTATCAGCTGTTACGAGCTGTGCGACTGATCAGTTTTCCAGCAACAGTGCAGACGCATCGCCTAGCAAAACATGCACGTGCATGTGCGAGAGCGACAAGACCGATAGTTCGCGGACAGATCGCCAGGTTGCCAGGACTAGTGTGGCCTGCCAAACGCTTAGCACTGGTGATATAGTAATTACTAGAATCTTTACCAACGAGGAAGAAAAAGAGAGAGTAAGATTACTGAATTCGCCAAAAAAGTAGGTATTACAGCTGCTATGAAAGTAGTACAAGAGTTGCCATTTATAGATTTTTTTAAAAGGGAACGAATTCACATGAAAAGAATTAAGTAGGTGAAATTTCTCTATTTTATGTAATATAACAATATTCACACCGAGCAGAACTGGCGATAGTCATAGTGTTATGCTTTCTGACGTCTCTGCTCCTTTAAAAGTGTCTTAAACAAATAGGCCTTGTTATGCTCGCCTTTTCAAATCTGACAGTGTAATAATCAGATTTCTGAAAAAAGGTTTATTAATTTTTATATGAAGATGTATCGTATACATATTCGTTATTTGTGTGAAGATCATCTTTCTTTTACATGTATTTAAGAAAGACCGAATCGTCTTACATGGAAAATAGAAAAAGTCAACTTTTAATAGATGTAATTTTATTCTTGACAAATTGCAGTTTGTAATATTTTACATTTTTGACTTAAAATTAAATTGAAAACGAAAACAAAAAAACATGCTGATCTTTTAAACAAAATATATACAAATATTGTAAGGAGAATTCTTATACTCTTAACATATAAATAATGTGCTTTGACTAACGAGTTTTAACGCTTTTAACACATTGACTGTAGCGCAAAATGTATCACTTGCCTCGTGTCGTCGCATTTAATTCTAATTTAGTTTTAATTTTTCTGATTATCGAAATGCATTTTCGACAAACTATTATTGATCACACTCTGTTTGCAATGATACGTCAGAATAAAATCGCAAACAATCGCATTATCGTAATATTGTAAAACAAAAACGTTTGTTTGCAAAGAAGAACATTCAACAATTTTCGAGTCAAAGTGTTAATAGCGTTAAGAAATTAAAAGGATGCATATCACGCTTGCGAAACAACAAAAAAAATCTTTTATGTGAAGTACTGCATTAAAATCGCTGCACTGGTTCGAGCCAGTAACTCTACGGCCTATATATATATTTTACTTCACGTCACTTTCGTCAAAAGAGACGAAATCATCGGCAGTAATAAGATGCTAACTATCTAACAAACAAATGCTTTTTCACGCAGAATTTGTGCATATACAAAAGTAAAGCCCAGATTCTCTCTCCCTCTCCTCCGTACATCCGTTACAAATATAGTTAATTTTATTTTCTTACCTATAGCTATATACAAGTGCCAAGTTAATATATGTACAATAAAACAGATGAACAAGTAAATATTTGTGAAAGAATTACGCTAGAACTTCCAATATATATATATATATATATATATATATATACATGCTTTATAAATCTAATAGTGTTAAATAAAATCTCAACACATCACTTATTTATTGTTATATATATATATTATATGTATATGTAAAACAACGTTCTCACATTTACACTAGCACGTCATTAATTAATATAAACTGCCATTGTCTAGAAGTGGCTATTTCAAAAGATCTAAGTAATTTTATTATGTTACGAGAAAAGAGTGTTTTTAGTGCAATACTTTACACACAAACAAATAACACTGAGGAACAAATTCGAAACACTTTTGTTCGCCAGCTTAATGAAAAACAGGTGATTCTTACGGATTCTGATACGCATCAAGAATCTATAAGAAACACCTTCAATCTTTAACAGAGGAGAATTTCATGTTCACCAGTGTAATATGTGGTTAGTATCAATCGCATGATCTTTTACAAAAAAAATATCTAAAAATATTTAAAAAACTATATATAAAACAGATAAACAACGTAAATCACACATTGACATATATTCTCCTTAACTTAGTATCAATCGAAAAAGAGTTTTAAGGCTCAATTAGTATTAAATTGTTCAACTTTGTCTCGTATAATGTTTATAAAACAGTATGCCAGAAATTTGCTACAGTAAATCTGGACAATCTATGAAGCTAACATATAACTTGTTTTGATATAATCAAAACATCGTGTGCGTGTATGTATGTATGTATGTATGTGTATGTGTGTGTAATAGCAATATTTTTTAAAAAATTAAAGATTTTGATAAGTACATTTTTGAGCGTTTTTAGCATTTGACTATTATATTTCATTAGAGAAGAAAATATTAAGACTATAATTTAATCGTGGGGTTTTTATTTAAAAGAAAATAAAAAACGCTAGTTTATTATTTTAATTTAATTTATTGCGTGTAAAACAGTATGCATATATAGTAGTACTTTCGGCAGCTATTTATACACATACGTCTTAACGAATCTTACTTTACGTAAGATTCACGATACAAGTATATTTTTGAAAGTATTTGTGAAAATAATTTTGGTTGGCTCGTGAGTCGAGATCACAATTATTGGGTTTGGCTGTGTAATTCAAAATATTTGTATAGTTCTTTAACAACATTAATTACACATATGAATCACAAAATGTTTCGTATATCAATAATGTCGTCTTTATTTTTATTCTTATCATATATATTGACTTTTTAATCAAGTTGATTACATGTTGACTTAAACTTAAATTATACGTCGCTTCTCTCTATTTGTAAGAATTATTGATTTTATGTGTTACAGAGAAGGAAAAATATATTTTGTGTATATAAATATATGTCTGCAAAATTCAAAATACTTGTAGTAATGCGAAATACTGATTTATATCCAGTTATTAACAATAATTAATTTCCTGATGTATGAAGTAAAGTTTAAAATTACAAAATGTACGTAATAAATAATATAAAAAAATTAAGTGCTATTTATACATCCTCAAATTGCAAATAATCTTTGCAAATTACTGATGTAATTTTTAATGTTAATTCGAAACATTATCGCGGAGTTACAGATCATAAATGGAAGCGACGCGCAGATATACAAGGCCATTTTTAACACATTTCTCGAAACCACATTTTTCGAATTATTTGATATGATACATTTAACATTTACACATGAATACACTTACACATTTATACATTTCGTTCTATTTATACATCACATTTATACTTGATGAATAAATTTTCTTATAAGATATCCAAAAATCGTGAATTGGAAAATAGATTACAATTCTGAAAATAAATTGTACTTTAACATTCGTTTGTATAAATTTTATTTTTAGTATGTTCTTTCATATCAGATTCGTGCTTGTCAGATCGATTGCAATAGTCACAGACACGAATGTTCATCCACTTTATATTTGCTGTATGAAATTTTTTTCCACAAATGTTGGATTTTATATGAATACTAAAGTACGTCACACTTTCTCCTCGATTAACCGAGCAATCGTTGTAGGATATACAAACGGTTTACTTCTCTAAAAAATAATTGAACAAGATTTAGATTTATTTTTGTATATTTTTGTGTCTCATACTAGAAAAGCGCGGAGTTTCGTAATATTTGAAAAATTTATTCAAGAAACTTACTATGCAATAATAAATTTCATTTTCGGCGGTTTTATCATTTTGATTATCTTTGCATTTACAATCTCCTTTACACTTGTTGCACTTATCTATTTTCGAAGCTAAGTGAGTTCTCGTGTGTAGTTGCAGACTGCAATATCTTTTAAAAGTTCTCCCACATTTGTCGCATATATGCGGTTTTAAAGAAGAATGACTTACTGAATGCTGTTGCAATTGGTACGCGGTTACAAAACTTTTCTCACATTTGTCACATTTATGTGGCTTCGAAAGTAAATGTTTTCTCTCATGCATCAGTAAGCCCATTTTGGTCCTGCAATTTTTTCCACATATTTCACAATGATAAACCTTTGTTAAATGACTTTTTTCATGATTTTTCAGAGCTTGCTCGATTCTAAACATTTTAACGCATATTCGACATTTGTACGTTCTCGGCGACGAGTGCCAAAATACTAAATGGTTTCGCAAGCGTTTTTTCGTCACAAAACAGTCTTTACATTCGTCGCAGGTGTACAAGTTTGCGAGCGGATGAACTCTTTTGTGCAGTCGCAATTCGTCCTTGGTCCTGCATCCTTTTCCACATTTGTTGCAGACGTATGTGCTCGAAGGTAAATGACTTCTTTCGTGCATTTGTAAACCAGTCTTGTTCTTGCACTCTTTTCCACATTTGTCACAGACATACGAGGATAAGTGAGTTCTCTCATGTACTTGCAAATCGTGCTTTGTTTTGCAACCTTTTCCGCACACTTTACATTTATACGGTCTCAAAACCGAATGATGATATAAAAAATGCCGTTTTAGATTGTACTTGGTCATGAAACCTTTTTTACATTTGTCGCAATTGTACATTTTTGAAAACGAATGATACTTTCCATGCACTTGCAAGTCGACTTTGGTCTTGAAAGTTTTTTCGCATTTTTTACATTTATACGGCCTCAATGACGAATGATACAAGATATGCTGTTGCAAGCGTTGTTTGATCACAAAACCCTTTCCACATATGTCACAGTAATACGACTTTTGAACGAAATGAAGTTTTTCGTGCACTTTCAAGTCGTTCTTGACCTTGAAACCTCTTCCACATTCTTTACATTTATGTGGCCTCGAAGGTGAATGATATAAAAAATGTCGTTGCAGATTGTACCTGGTCATAAAACCTTTTCCACATGTGTTACAATTATACGGTTTCGAAGACGATGATTGAGATGTTCGATGGTAACTCATGGCAAAACATGATGTAAAAAACTGTTCAGATATCTTGAAAAAAATATAATACATTTAAGGGTTTATTAATTCTTTTATTATATATTTGTTATTTGATATTATTTTATTTTATTAAATATTTATTATCTGATATATCTCAAGAGTTTCTTTTCAGTTTATTTATAATAAGCAAGAAAATAAGAAATTGCTAAAATAGTTGTATTTTATTTTCGAAATTATTTTATCTCAATAACTTCAAATTCTGATAATAATCAGATTCGAGTTTAGCGCTTCAAAATTGACAAAAACTACTTTTCTTCATTAAAAAACAAAATTGTTTATAGTATACTTGGCATACATTAAACAGACACAAAATAAAAGTGAAGAAAACAAGATGCATTATTTTGAAACAATATTACAAGAACAATTTTACAATTACATAAATAAACACAAAAGTTTTTGTATACATAAGTAAAGAAACCTGCAAAAAATATTGTTGGCGAAATACATAATAATATATACAAAAGCAAGATGCACGGGAAGTGCGGTGTTGCCGTATAAATCAAGTTAGAAAATTACAAATAAATCAAATATATTGCGCCATATTGATTCCTATCCTGCATGTGTAGCGTTCTTTTCTTTCTATCTATACTCTTGCACTTACATAGTTGTATGTCGTTCTTACTAGCTTGCACTATGATTCTAGTGCAATTTCGATGGACAAGAAATGAACGAACCTTTGAATAACTAGACGAGAAAACTTGTTTCTCTTGGACGAATTGCACGTAATAAAACCCCTGCTAATATACTTCTTGCGAACCATATGGCTCAAAGGGTTGCCGGGTTTCCCGTCTTACAAACATTAGTCTTTACTTATTCAAGCACGTTTCCATAGACACTTTCACGTGTCGATAATAATGGTCACACTTTAAGCCCGTTCTACATTGATCGCAAGCGCAAACTCAAGGTATAGATCTCGTAGACTTGACCAATCACGCTAGACAATTGACTAATTTGATCAATACGATTAGTCAATTCTACCAGATATGTTCTTTGCATTTGCGTTTGCGCTTGCGATCAATGTAGAACAGGCTTAATAGCTTTTCTACCCTGTAAGTCAACGCAATGTCCACAAGTGGTGCACATTGGCAACTACGTAGCCATATCCACGAACGACTTGTCGGTGCGTACACTATGTCCAAACATTGACATGGTTCTATTCCGTGCTATGTGCACGAGTCCAAGTGTCAAATCGACACCTGACCCTAGCCGCTCTCCGCATTCTTCTCTGCTAAAATACAAAATCATAAAACTAAAAAAAACGTAAACACGAAAAGATATAGATAATATAATAAACACGAAAAGAAAATAGATAACATAATAAATATAAAAAAATAGATAATATACTAAACACGAAAAAAAGATAATATAATATAATATAATAAACACTAAAGATAATAAACAAAGTTAAGGTCTATTATCTTTCGAAAATAATGACGATATTCTAACGCTTTGCAATTTCTAGCGCAATTCAAGCGTCAATTTTGACGCACAAAGGGTAAACAAAACTGTCGCTTTAATGGAATTTGAAACATCCAAAACAAGTGACTTTCACAAACTAACTAATACGCGTTAGGCACAATCATTTTTTATCGATATACCATAATGTTCACAAATTTAATTTTACAAGCACCAAACATAATAACTTTCCTATTTCTTTTTTACTTTTCAATGAAAACTTTGAGACTAACTGTTATAAAATCTTATTGTAAAAAAAACATTTATATTACTTTACCTTGCATTTCCAGTGTGTGTATCTTTATTACATATATATCACTATCTTTTAACCCACGAAATTTATTAAACTTGTATGCTCGATATTTCAAAATTGGTAAAATCGACCGTTACAAAAAAAGCGAACAGACAAAACTTATCATCATGACTATGTGACTGATATGTCACGTAACATATCCGATCTATAAAACCTAAGTAACCTGCTCTTAAATTAGATACTTCTTTTACGCACACAATAAAACGAATGCGCAAATATACATGAGCGTACATATATGTACTACATATGCACGCAAGCGAATAATGCACGACCAAATGAAACCTACTGCATCCAACACAATCGTGCATAAAAATGCATGCACGTATTGCACATATGCTTATGCAACACAAATACTTATACAGCCTTTACAAGTACCTACAACACGCGCAATTTTTTTTTTTTTTTTTACGAGGAAAAATGCCCGCGCACACCCTGATCCCTTCTGAGGGATTTCCATATCCCAGAGAAAGGATCAGGGTAGTGTGGGACTCGAACCCACTAAAAAACCTCGGGGAATCGCTCGCAAATAGGAATCGCACGCAAGTGGGAATCGCACGCAAGTGGGAATCGCACGCAAAAAAGAATCAAACGCAAAAGGGAATCGGATGCAAAGGGAAATCGCACGCAAGTGGGAATCACACGCAAAAGAGAATCGGACGCACAGAAAAATCGCACGCAAGTGAAAATCGCACGCAAAAGGGAATCGGACGCAAAAGGAAATCGCACGCAAAAGAAAATCGCACGCAAAAAAAAATCGCACGCAAAAGGAAATCGGACGCAAAGGGAAATCGCACGCATATGGAAATCGCACGCAAGTAAGAATCGCACGCAAGTAAGAATCGCACGCAAAAAGAAATCACTCGCAAAAAGGAATCGCACGCAAATGGGAATCGCACGCATAGAATAATTGCTCGCAAAAAGGAATCGCACGCAAGTAGGAATCGCTCGCATATGGGAATCGCACGCAAGTAGGAATCGCTCGCAAAAGGGAATCGCTCGCAAAAGGGAATCGCACGCTTAGAAAAATCGCTCGCATATGGGAATCGCACGCAAATAAAAAACGCACGCAAATAAGAGTCGCAC